ATGACATTGGTTGTAGGGAAATTGTTGCATTTACGACTTATCTACTATCATCACTACTTGTTAATGTTTGTATATGTCACAAGCTTGCTACCAACTGTTGGCGGGCAAGCTTCATTCGCTATAAGTTTATTATCTTGTATCATTGGTGAATTATTGTACACATAACAAATCCTTTCTTGTTGCCCGCAGATGGTTTTATATACTTTAGACTCTTAGTTTCGTCATTTCTTGCAGGCGGGATAATGTATTTATTTGCAAAATATATGATGTTGAGTGTAGGGAGACAGTTGCACTCGTTGCTCATTTGCAACTAACGTATTGATTTCCACTTTCCTACTGCCATTCATGAAATATTCATTGTGTGCATTACATACCCTTTGTTGTTTGATGTGTTTGCTTGCAAGTTGATTTTGTTTGTTGATGATAGCTGTGGGGGTTATTGTACTTGTTGTATTTGGAGTAAAATGATATTGATTGCCTCTTCTGCTTGTGGGGGATTGACATATTTTCTTGAAGCTTTCAATGCAATTATCCATGGATGATTTATGAGTTTTGCATCATCACTTGCAATTAAATTATGTGTTCGTATTGGTTGTCTCTTATGGGTGAGATGAAGGAATTTTCCTCATCCATCATAAATACTTGTTTGTTAATTCAATGTTCGTTTATCCAGCATTTATATGTTTGTCATAATTATGCATTTTTCAATTTAAAGGCCAGTTCCCTATGATCCATATCAACTATCCTGTATTAGTTCAGGTCCTTTGCATTTGTTCAAGTTCTCTACATTTGCATAGGTTTTGTGCATTTTGATTGAAGTCAGGTCCCTTGTTCATTTTGAATTTTGACAGCCTCTCGACGTCTCCCCAGTCTAAAGGAAATTCCAGGAGTCAAGCCTTCCCATCACGCTAGAGTAAAAAGTGTACAATAGGTGTCGGATGACACCATGACCATAAATCTTCAATCTTATCACGCCAAAAAAATAAGTGTATGGGTCTTCAGGGTACCTGCTTGAAATGCGCAGTTCTTTCCACGCAGACATTGAGGCGTCTACGGGTACTTATATTAGTCCCCGCCACGCTAGAGAAAAGCGCATATAGGGTCTACCTGTCTCGCCATAAGCGTCACACCAGGTTCCCTCCCCACTACAAAAGAGGAAAATATATATTGGTGGTTTTCCGGTGCACCGCAAACATTGAGATCGAATTTTTTTTTTTAAGTTTAGGGAATCATATTTGTGTGTCAAGGTGGCAGCGAGGATGTCGACGACGACGGTGAAAAATGCTCAAAAAATTTCCCCTTTCTTTTTTGAACTCCTTTTTTTAATCTTTTTTTTATATTCATTTTAGTCATCATTTTTTATTCATCCTTTTTTTAAACCTCTCATTCTCTTTTTTTTTTAATGTACATGTCAGTGCAGACATACACAGACATACACACACGTGCACACCTATGTTAAACCGATACGGATATGGCGACACGGATACGACACGATACGGATACATGATACATCAATTCTTAAAAATACAGGATACAGGTACGGCGCGGACACGACATTATAATTTATAATCATACATAAAAATTAAGAAATCAATCAAAGCATAATATTTGAACAAAAAAAAAAAGACAACAACATCATTTGTAGCCTTGTAACTTATAATTTCAAAATATAAGTAAGCATTAAATGTCTAGTACAACAACAAAAGCATAAACATAAATTATCTAGCACATGGAGTTTCAACTATTCCACACACACACATATATATATATATATATATATATATATATATTGACAATAATAATGATGATGCAAATAGTTAGTAACATTAGCAAATGACAATGCTAATTAACATTAGACACACTAATCAAAGATAACAACCAACGCTAAAAGAAAACTTACTGCTTGGCGTTATGGGTAGAGGGAATGTGAGGTGTGCGTAGGCTGTTTAGTAAATTGGCTTGGGATTGTAGTGGGCTAGTTGCTTGTGTTTTGAAGTGCAAGAATGGGCTGATTTGGATGATGAGTAGAGTTGTGGGGCTATTGGATTTTTAGTGGGTTTTAATGAGTGAGCTTGAAGGGTTTTTTTTTTTTTGCTTCCACATGGAAAAATGAGTGGGGAAGCAAGTAATGATTTGCCGGTTGGGAAGTTAAAGTGTTTGCTTAGGTATAGAAAGGTGAAAGTCCACGTGAAAGGTAAAATAGGGAAGGCTTTGTTCAGTTACTGTCCGGCACAGATAAAGGTAAAGGGATGAATTCGGCTTGCTGGAGGAGGCGATTTGTGCTTGCGGCAGAGACAGACCTTGCGGCAAGCAAAGAAGCCAGAGTAGGTATAGGTTGAGGTAGGCGGCTGTGTGGGGCTTGTAGGAGGCGGACAAGAGGATGGGCATCGGGTACAGGGACGATCGGCCTGGTCGTAGTGGGGGCTAGGGGTCGTGAGTTCTATGACAGGGGTCGAACAAACAAGTGAACGGATAAGGGAGGCTATGGCTTGGCTGTTTTGAACAGAGGGGAGGGTTGTTCGTGGATTTTGGATGTTCGATCAAGGGGAGAAGCAGCCGGACGGGATCTGGTCGCAAGGCTTGGCTGCAAGGTCGGTGGATTTGGCCGGAGAAGGTGCGGTTGTTTGAGGGTTGGCAGGATCTAGCTTGCACGAGTTGGAGGAGGGCGAGAGAGGGTGGAACAGGCTTGCACGAGTTCGGACAGGCGCGTGGAGTTTGGGCTGTCTGCGGCTTGGGCTTCAAGTGGACGGATGGGGGCAATGAGGCGGAGAAGAGGAGGTCTTGCTCGATGGCTGGGGTCGGTTTGCAGGCTCGAACTACATTAAGAAGTCGAGATCAAGATTCAATCGATACAATAGGTGAAAGCTGGAGGTCCGTCAGCTGCAGGAGGTTTTGAATGAATAGGGAGATAGAAGATTTAGCTACATGCGGTTGAGAGAGCTTCTAATCGTGGACTGGAGCTCTCGTGTGAGCGTAGCCAGACGAACCGAGGATCGCAGTAAAGGCTTTCAATTTAACAACAAGCAAAGAGTTTGCATTCGCTGAATTTATGGGATTTAGACGCAAAATCTGCGGATTTTACGAGATTTCTGAGGAGGAACACGACGGACACGAGGTTTGCATTAATTTGATTTGCAAATTGATGGATTTTTTTAATTAAGATAATAATATTATTATTATTATTAAGTGATAGAGTTCAAAATAATTTTTTCCCTTGATTCACGTGTTACTTCTTGATTTTCATGCAATTGTCTCGTCTTTCACATCGATTCGCGCGCATAATTCTCATTGGGCGAAATTATAGCATATTTTGGGTATTGACAATGTTCCGGACGCAACGGCAAAATCCATTTTGCGACCGAACGTCGTGGGCAAATTTCATCGATTTGCGTGCCGCCACCTAGGGATTCATGTTGATTTTGCCGGATGACTCCGATTGAACAAATTGATAGTGATTTTGGTGTGTTGAAACATTCCGGACGCAACGACAAAATCCGTTTTGCGATCAGGCGTTGTTTGGGGGACGTCGCACATCAATTTTGGGTGTTGGTCGTCCCTTTGGACCGATCTTGTCTGATTTGATTGCGAGGGGTCCTCTCTTTGACGAACTAGATATCCTGATTACAATGAGATAGTTCATTTTGCAATCAGAGGTTGTTTTACCTTTCAATTGACGTGTAGCGTCAACGTGCACGCTGCTTAATTCGTCAATTTTTTTCCTCTGCGCGTGATTTGATGTGTAGGGTCAACATACACTATTTAGATCATAGTTAAATAATTTTAATATTCATTACATCATTCAATTCAGGCTTACATTCAAACTCTATTAAACCATTGAACTAAGCCTGTACTTCTTCCACTTTTATATCCATTCGAATTTTCACAACCTTGATTTTACTCATTAGGATCTACACAATTAAGGGTGATACCATGCATTCAAAAAGTAAAATAATATCTACAAAATATATTTGTCACCAAAAATTTGGTCTCCAAATTACTTTTCTTCGCATCAAGTTTGCATATAACAAAGAAGATATTTCTCTTTCAAAGGAAATATACTATAAACCTTTTTAAAGAAATTGACCTTCTTGAGTGCAAGCCCGCTAACTCTCACGGAAAATCGACAATCAACCATATATAATGAAAGTTATAAAGATGCTTCTTGCTATCAATAGCTAGTTGTCAAACTTATCTACTTGCTTCACTTGACCTAACATATCCTTTCTTGTTGATGTAATTACTTGGCATATGCAAAACTCCAAGAAGAAACATTTTGATGTTATAAGAACTTCAAGATTTATTCAAAAATATTTGGAAAAGATTTGGTTTATCAAAAACATAATCATTTAACAACTAAAGCTTTTTCTGATGCAGACTCAAGAATCTACCTTAAGATACAATGTACATATGGATGGAAATCTCATGTTCTGAAAAGGAAAGAAGCAAATTTAATAGCTATATCAAGTGTTGAAGCTTCATTTTGCTTGTGAAATGATGTGAATCAAAAGTGAAATAGGAGAAATTGGCTTCTGTGTTCCACAACCTATACTTAACTATGATAATCAGACAATTATCTACATTAGAAGCAATCCTATCTTCTATAAAATAACCAAATATTTGAAATAGATTGCCACTTCATCGAGATCCAATTGTATCAAAAAAATCTCTCTCCATATGTCTATACAATCAGTTGACATCTTTATCAAAGAGCTCTTCCTTTTTCTAATCTTTATAATAAGTTGGAACTTTGTGATATCTCTAATTTGAGGTGAAATGTTAACATAGGAAAGTACTAAACTAGAATGTGATATCTTAGGCAAGTCGGAGAATAGAGTGATAAGTTTTCTTTAATGCTTTATATCTTCATAATTAAGAATATTCTTCTTTGTATTATCTTCCTTTTTGGCCTATATTTAGGCACTGGCATTCAATCAATAATATTTGATTCCTTCTTTAGCAGTTATAAAAAAGAAAAAAAGAAAGAGTAGTTTTATGTTTACCCGAGAGTGCTCCTTCAAGCCAAGAGTTAGAACCAGCGGCCTGGATGAACCACAAGAACTGTCCAGCCAAAATTACTATCAGATATTAATCCACAAATTCCAAAATAATGAAGATGTAATTGATAATTTATTAGTAAAACTATATACGCCTAGCAGAATCCCATTGTTTTTTTTTTCCCTGATCATCTAATCAACAACCAACCATTGATAGCAATTTTTCATTACTATAAGCAACAGCACTGCATAAAATGACATCATTCTTTACAGCACATTTTCCTTACGAAACCAAATACTTGGCTACAACATTTACAAAGATACACAGTACACGGAAAAAATAAAAGGGGCATCCAAATGTTAAAACCAGGACAACTGATAAAACAGAAAAGTCATAGTTTAGATTGATCCAAGATTTATCAAATTTTGCTGTAGAAAGTTTCCACTGGCTTGCCCATATTAAAAAAAAAAAGTGACTATAAATAAATGCATTAACAGAAAGAACTGTATACTAAGAAACGAGCTCTAGTTCTAGTTCTAGCTGCATGCTTCCTACCCTAGTTCTCAAGAGCTAAAGTAAGGGTTTAAGCTATAGCCCAAGTAGGATGTTCCATTATAGATGCATGTATGACATGTATGACTTTTGGCTGAAATCCATTTATAATTTTTTTTTTTTTTCTGAAAAGGATGAGAAGCTCATGTTTAAGCTCTCAAATGTACATATAATCCCAAGTATTTAGAATAAGCCTCAAAATACAACACTAAACTGTTATTAATTTAGAGACCAGCATCCCGCTCATTATAAATGACCGTTTTGTCAGCCAAGGAGACACCTCCAATTGATAATTGTAAAAGTAATTAACAATCCATCAAATAAATTTTCAACATATTCAAATCTCTGAAATATTAGAGTACAGAAGCTAAAAATCAAACCTAATATGTTCAATCAGTTGGCGTCCACATGCATCAAGCAGTGGCTGCAACATATATAAAGAAATCTTATAATTCTGAGAAATTAGAATCATAAATACATATGATCCGATAAATATCCTAAATTTGAAGAAATTAATAACCTTACCTCGTCTCTTTTACCAAATATGACAGAGACACTAAAAGTCGGATCACTGGCAAAACCTTCCTCCTTCCTGTAGCAGATGAACGATTTTCAATAAAATCTTTATCAGCACAAGAATAATATATGTTTACTTGACAAAAGAAGAACTGGTAAGATCGTTCTCATGAGACCCAGTTGGTACATAAACATTCGCAAGTAGAACAACATATCCAAAATAACAAATATTAAATCTAACAGGAATCCGATCTCCTTATAGTAAAAACAACAATATTAAAGGAAAAACGCAGCAGAAATCAGCAAGAAAGGAATATATTATGGGCTAATTTTCTTTGATAAAGGCACAACAAACCAAGATACAGATTGATCTACCATTTGAGAGGTAGATCGGTTCACAAATCCTAGGCGTCACTAGGAACAACTCCAAAGAAAAACTATAGCAAACACTATCACATAATGAATATTAAATAACCTAATTATCCCAATATAAGCCTCCCTAATTCCATCCCAATTCTCAATTCAAAACAGCCCCCTTCTTAAATAAACCTTTCATAATTCCCTCCCAAATCTCAATTCAAATCAGCTCTCTTTCCTTAAATAATTCTTTCCTAATTCTTTGTCAAATCTGAATTCAAATCAACCCTCCTTCCCCTAAATAAACTTTTCTAATTCCCTCCCAATTTTGATTTTCTCTGGTAAATAATTAAAGGTGGACTTATTCCCCTTTGGATCCCTCTCTTTCCTTGCATATCGTCCGTTCTAGTGGGGCCCACAGGCTCCGCAGGTCCATGAATACTCCCCTCCCGAAGAATCATCTTGTCCACAAGATGAAATGAAGGAAACTGTTGTTGAATCATACAATATGATTCTCATGTTGTTTTATAGTCGTGCAGATCCTTCCACTCGATCAACAATTCTCTTAGCTCCTCTTGTTGTCGAACAGACTCCTTTCACTTCACTTGGCTCCAGGATTACCTCCATTTCTTCTGTCAAGGCATTGACGACATCGCTTATGGATTGCGATCACCAATAACTTTCCTCAGCTGGAACACATGGAACACCGGGTGCATGGTGGAAGTAGGGGGTAGCTGCAAATGATTCGTCACGACACCAATCCTCTCCACCACCCTTATAAGGCCCACAATGCTGTGAAAATAACTTTTCATTTCTTCTTCGAGCTAAGGTCTTCTATAGGGTCGAATTTTTAATACACTTTATCACCCACCTTGAATTGCATGTTGAAATACTTCGACCTCCCCTTTATCGTTGCCCCGGAAACTCCACTATGGTTGCCCCCATCACTTCCCCCATGAACAACACTAGAATTTTGGCCCTGAATAGAACGAGACTGCAGAAACTTTGCCCAAGCTACCCATTTGTATTGAACTATTGATTTGCATTTTATTGCACAATTCTTCTGTGCCTTTAAACCCAACAAATATTTTTCCTCTGATCTTCGAACGAATCTAACCATATAGTGGATGTTATTCATAATGAATAAATAAGTCAACCCAGGATCCTTATATTGCTTAGATTTACCGTCCATGTTACTTTGAAGAGCTTACATAATTAAATTGTAACAGTTGTCAATTGGGAAGTTGAATTTTCTCCCACCTTTTCAAACTCCTGAAAAAACTGCTTCAAAGTTGATTGATAGTCAGATAAAAACTTCAAATAGTTAATCCAATACTTAGTCAGAGGGTGCACAATTCCATCCATCACACTACTTTTTGTTGCATCTTCTTCCACTGCTTCCTTAAAATCCCCCAAAAATTTTTTGAGCAGTTTGGACTAAGCACCTAGAAAGAATATGAATAGCATCCCTCAACTCATAACAAGTTTTTCCTTCAAATATCGTTTCAATCTCAGAATGAAGCTCACGCATTATTTCATACATGTATAGAAGGTGACCCTTGCTTTTAGCTATAGCACCCCCAAAACTAAAAAGCATCAATACATTGTCTGTTGTTACTTCAACAAAGCAGCGATCCTTAAGAACATTGATACCATTAAAATTTTGATCACAGATTTTTCTTTCTACAACAAATAGGAGTTTCATAGCAATCCTCATATAGTGAATCCAATTTCTAATTTTGGACTTTAGAACCTCCCATGGCATCTTCTATACATCCTCTTTACTGAGCTTTGCCACTCCTTTACCTTGAATTTCCATCAGCATAGTCTTAAGAGAAACCCTAAGTTTAAAAAAAATAAAATAAAAAATAAAAAAAATAAAAGAGAAACCCTGGGTTTGGACAAACTAGGATCCCCCTGATCCTCACCTTCCTCCCTTCCACCATGAATTCCATAGTTAATGCATTCCAGTTCACCTTGGTCTCCCTAAGAGTTTGCAACCACTTCATGCCCAAAATTACATATGTACTCCCTAACTCCAAGGAAAGAAAATCCTCCTTCACCAGATCTTTTGCAGTGTCACCATCAGCCCTGGGAAGATGCCTCTACTATTCTCCACCTTCCACGTTGCCTTCTCAAAATAGTTTGTGTCAACTAGCTTTAGCCACAACCTGGTTGGAGATGAAATTGTGAGTCGGCCCACTATCCACTAGAACTACCATTGATTCTCCTCTTATCTGTCACATTACCTTCATGGTGTGATTTGAGATAAAACCCACAACTGAGTTCAGAGAGACCTCCATCACATCTAGATGCAAACACTCCTCTAAAGTCTCCTCATCACAGATTTTAAGTTCCTGCAGCAAATGATCCTTGCAGCGGTGGCCCGGTGCAAACTTCACATCACAATAGAAACACAGTCCCCTAGCCCGCTTCTCCTAAACATCTGCCTCAATTTCCTCGGGCCGTGCTCCCAATCCCCTATTCTTAGGTACTTCTCTCCGAATAGGCACAAGTTATACCTTTGATGCCAAAAAAAGTAGTCATCCGGCATTAAGCTCCTAAACTGTTGCTCTTGCTGCTTCTCTCAAGTGATGTTTTTTCCTCCATCATCTGGGCTAGCTCCATAGCCTCCCCCAACCCTCGTGGCCTCAATAACCGAACAACAACTCTAATGTCTGGCTTGAGCCCCTTCATGAAATTTTCCTCCAACATTATCTCAGGTAGCCACCCCAATCGGCTAGAAAGATACTCAAATTGCTCCCGATAAATCATTGTTGTCCCTTCCTAAATTAGAGCAATGAACCACTTGTAGAAGTCTCCTTCCTGATTTGTTCAAAAATGTTCTAATAAACTAACTTTGACCTCCCTCCACGATTAGATTGGATCTCTCATGTCTCTCCACTAATACCAAGACAAGGCCTTCCCCTCCAAGCATAAAGCCATTGTCGTGAGTCTCTCCTCATAGATACACCTTATAGATACACCCACGAGCATCTTCCCCCTCAAAAGCGGACATCTTCAGCTTTCTCACTCTCTGATCCCCTTGGCCCCAACTTCCTTTTCCACCTCCGACTCCTCCCATGCGATGATTATTGAGATCTCTCCATTGTTCTCTCCCACCCCTCCTCCTTTCATAGATATTCGCTTCCACAAAATCAGCCCTCCTCATTTCTTCCTCCCAATTTCTTCCCATGCCATATCCTTCACCCATTTCCCTTCTAGTTATCATTTTAAGAGGAGGCATGTTTTCCTCGTCGCCCAAGATTTCTATCTCTGGATCATCCCCCATTCTGCCGATATTGGGGTTTCCCCCACTTCCTTGGCCACCCGCTAGTACTCTCGCCTACGATGTTGTCGATTAGGTGTGAAGCTCGAATATTTTTTTCTTCATGTCTCCTAGGTTAGAAAACCTTCCTTCCATAGATATAAATCGTTCCTCAATTTCATATTTGAGTTGGTCAACTTCTCCATCTAGTTTCTCATCCAAAATATCTACTTTCTTCAGTGACATAGGTCCTAAATCGTACTCTGCTACCAATTTGAAATGTATCCAATCTCCTCACAGCAAAAAAAAAAGCAATACTGAAGGAAAAAATGCAACATAATTTAGCAAGAAAGAAAGAGATTATGGTCTAATTCTCTTTGATAAAGACAAAACAAATCAAGATACAGATTGATCTATTATTCGAGAGGTTTATCGACTCACCACAAACCCAAGGCGCCACTAGGAACAACTCCAAAGAAAAACTATAGCAAACACAATCACATAGTGAATATTAAATAGCCTAATTAACCTTATATAAAACTCCCTAATTTCCTACCAAACTCAATTCAAAATAGCCTTTTTTTTCTTAAATAAATCTTTCCTAATTCCCTCTCAAATCTCAATTCAAATTAGCCCCTCATTCTTTTAATAAATATTTTCTAATTCTCTCCCAAATATAAATTCAAATCAAACCCCCTTCCCCTAAATATACTTTCCTAATTCCCTCCTAATTTTCATTTCCTATGGTAAGTAATTAAAGGTGGATTTATTCCAATTTTGATCCCCCACTTTCCTTGCCTGCCATCCCTAATAGTGGGGCACACCGGCTCCGCCGGTCCATCAAAATCATGAATCAAAATGTAATATAGTAGAAATATAGAGCCATCATAACCAAAATCATGAATCCATTCAAGTGTTTGGGTTAAGATAATGGATTTACGATTCCACAAGCATATTTGTGAAGAAGTAAAATAGTGGGAACCAACAGATGGAAATTATTCAGGCTTCAAATTTTTGTTGGAGTTATCAATATTAAACTATCCATTCAAAAGGAAAATTCTTACCTGGCATGAAGAATTGTTCCCACACATCCTATCTGAGTCACCATGACCTGAGGAGCAATTCAGGATGAGCATTTGAGAGCAGAACAAACAGACATGACTGGCTAGTTAGAAAACAACCATCAGATCTCCAGGCCATTACATATGTTTCCAAGATGAACATCTTTAAAACAAAAAACAAAATATGATTACTAACCATAAAATAATCATCATATCTGCAGACTACTACATCTGTTTTGTTTCCCTGCAGCAAAAAGAATTGCATTCAAGCAATTTCCAGATAGACTAAATCTAATAGAAAAAACCATTAAGGTTGGGTTCAAACATAATACTTAAATCGAAGGATTCAAAAAGAAACAGAGCTTGAGAAAGAAATTAAAAATTAATGAGATGTTGAAGTACTAGAGATTTTTAGATCAACGCAATGCCGTTGATCATTTAACAAGTTAAATCCCCACAAATCATAGTGCATAATACATAGTGTGTGTACATAATACTTAGTGACCACCACCTTCTTGGTTGAGTGGTATTGCTTTGACTTCCAAAATGGTGATCAGAGGTTGAAATCTCAGCAAAAATATTAATATTAATAATAACAAAGCATAATACTTGTTGAAAGCATGTAATAATGATGATGCACTGACAATTAACTGATATTATGTATCAAAAGAGAATGGTGAAAATAGCTGCTTATCTTAAACATAGAACTTCAACTTTTAACAGTAAAAAGGATTTTATTCAGAAATCGTAACTTTGAGTTGATTTTTAAAATCTGTCTTCCAAAATTTCCTGTATATACATTTTACTAATCATAATCCAAGAAAAATTTGTCCACTCAGTTCATAAAAATAGTTCTTCCACGAGAATAGAAATACTGTGGTCAGATAATATATTATAATCATAGCTCCCCTCAGAAAAAATAAGTATACATTTGCCAAAAACATGGTTATAACAATAGATCACAAACAAAACAAATAGACGTAACACTATATCAATGATTATGGTAGGAAAAGGATTGAATTGAACAAAAAATTGACCTAGAAAGAATAGACGAGACCTTGATTTCTAAGGAAGTTTTCTTGTAACCAACAGGAAAGGGAGTTGTCAAACTTGAACTTGAAACAGTCTCCATTACTCTGGAAAATGTAAAAAAATAAGAATATAAAACATCAGCTCCTTTCCAGAGTAAAAGGCAATTTTTTCATTCGCATGTGTATCCGTAGAGATTCAAAACCAGAATGAAAACCGTTATCGCTCCATCATTAACAATTTAATACAACATAACCAAGCTTCATGATAAATTGATTTTCATAAAGCAATGACTGGCAATATGAAAAATAAAGCATGCAGTGTAACAAGTCATTATAGCAATCTCAAGTTTCTAACGGCTTTAAAAAAAAAGTTTAAAATCACATAATGTGGAAGAATGTTCTCTCTGGGTTTAGGGAAAGATCAAATAAGTTAAATGGTATCCTTCCCACATCATTATTTGCTAAAGGTAGGGTAGAGAATCCTCTGGCTACACCCACTAGGATGTGCATCATTTCAGTTGTAGCCCCCAATTAAAAAAAAAAAACTGGTAGAATAAAAAAAGGTAAGAGAACAAAACAACAAGAGAGGAAGGCGACCAAACATGAGCATCCAAAAATCTTGGCAAAGGTATATGCTTGATAACAAGTTATTTGAAAAAAATGCTACTACTACAACAACAACATGTGTTTATCCTACTATGAGAGGTTGGTTACATAAATCTTTTTTCTACATTGTCTTATTAAGAGTCAAATTCTCATTTAAATCAAATAAAATAAATTCATTTCAAATCCATAAAGCCACTAAAAAAAAGTTCCTAAATCCATATGTACACAGGCATTAAAATAAACCTATAAAAAGGTATTACTCGTGTAACTTCTTTACAAACCTAAAATCCTGCCATTAAATCAAACTGATGAGGACATCAGAAGATCAATGATCTACGACCACGATCTACTTTTGATTATTATTGTATTTTATATATTTTATTTTATGTTTTATGAGTCTATTGTATTTCTTTCCGTTTATGCCCTTGCTTAAGGGCCTCGTCATGTGTTTGCCTTAAGGGCAATTGTGTCTTTGTATTTTCTTTATTTCGTTGGCTATTTAAAGCCTTCTCCTCTTCATGTAAGGATGATGAATTATTGATAATGAAAATTTTATGTTCTTGGTGATCTCTTAGTGAGTTCATGTTGATCTCTTAGTGAGTTCATGAGAGGAGAAGTCTGAGGAGGGTAATTTGCAATACCCGTCAATCTTTGGAAGAGTCCAAGGTTCGCGGTTCTTACGATCTCTTTGTGAGTTCGTTAATTACTTCTATCTTACTCGTGATTTTTGTTCATCTCCTTTCTCCCCTCTTCATCCACCCAAGTCTTCCCCTAGCTCCACCTCCCCAAGCCGACGACCATCACCCACCCGATCGCCGGCATCCTTCCATCCCCTCATCTCCACATCATTTCACCCTCTAGTTTCCCCACGTCAAAGACCACCACCATCAAAACCGACCTCAACCCGAAGGCGACATCTCCTCCCTCCTTTGGACCGCCGGCCACACTCATGACCCAAGTCATTATGACATTCAAATCATCATAATGACTCCTTAATTTGGGTTTTGCAATAAAGGGAGAACCTAGCAATTTTGAATTCAAATTTTGAAATTCAAATTTGAGATTCAAAACTTTCCATATTTGCAAAAGTCTAAAAAAGGAAAGTTTTTGAATTGGATCCCATCCAAATTTCATGACATGTGGAATTATTATTTTTTATCCTATGTGGCATCAACACGATTGGAAAGTAAATAACCAATCCCTAATCTCCCTCCTCCCCTCTCTCCATGCCGCCGGCCCTACTAGGGCCTCTCTCCATTTAATGCTCATTTAATGCATTAATTCCAAGCTAATTTGAAATCAAATTTCAAGTAGTTTTTCCCTCCAAATTCACTCAAATCCTGAAATTAATTTCAGGATTTGAATTGGATCCTCTCTCTCTATGCCGCCGGACACCCTTAATGGGCTCCCATTAATTGCCCCTTAACTCCCCTTGACCTCGTTTGGAATTTGAGCTTAATTTCAAATTGGATTTCCCTCCAAATTCACTCAAAACTGAAAGTAATTTCAGATTTTTAATTAAAGCTCATCCACACTTCTTCTAACATATTCTCCTCCCCACACCCTAGCCAGGGGTGCTGTCCAGGAGGTTTCGGCAGGCCAAACAGCTGTCTTGCTCGCCAAAAACCTCCTGCTTGCTGTCCTGAAAGTTCGTAGCTGCTGCCCAGGAAATTTTCGGCAAGACGAGCCACTGTTCTGCTCTCCTAGAACCTCCGGTTTGCTGTCCTAAAGCCCCACAGCTGCTGTCCCGAAGCCCCACAGCTGCTGTCCCAAGGTTCCAGCAGGTTCCTAATGCTGTGTCGCCATCCGGAAGGCCTCTATTTGTTGTCCAGATTTTCTGGAAACTGCGGGGTTGCTGTCCAGAGCTTTCCAACATGCCAAGATTGTCGTCCAGAGGATCCTGAACCTCTCTAATGATGTCTTTCCAGCCGAACTGCTGTCCCCTTTCATTTCAACCTTCCAACGACTTACCCGGAGCTCGCATCTCTCTTGTCTTTGAGTAAACTCTTCCCCCGACTATTTTATCTTCGATGTTACTTCTCAATTGTGGTCTTAATAGATTCATGACGATCACATTAATGCTTCCCCGCTAAAGCCTAGTAATTAGAAGAGTTGAGTGAGAGATCTCTTGTAGTGACTAATCTTATTGTTAGCATAGGGATTTATTGTTGAAATCATCCATGTATGCAACGTTAGATTAATTTATTAGTTTGCAATCTTAACTTCCACGCATGTGATTTAGCCTAAATCTTGTTTTATCGCCTTATTATTTTATCTTAGCGTTTAAATCAGCATAAGTTTTATTGAGAATTGTTCTTGAACAGTTAAGCGTGCAAACTTCCCTAAGCAACTCATCTTCGCATGTATTGTTTTACATCACAAACCCATAAAAACCCTCTATTCATGTATTGGTTTAGGAAACATAAAAAAACTAGTAGGTAACTTCATGAAAACTCGGGAACAATAACGATAAACCCAAATGCCCAAATGCCCAAATGAAAAAAAGTAGAAATCAAGATACCACCAAAGCAAAAATTAGCATCCAAAGCACGCAAGAAAGTTTCAGGGAATAAAAAAGGAATGGGAAAGACGCCAGGGTCATGATGAAGGTAGTTTTGGTGGAGATTAGAGAAGTGGAAATAAGGGATGTGAGCATCCACCCAACCCAATCTTAGAAAAGATAATAGACAACAGAGAAAGATATAATTACCTGCTACCGTGTAGAGGTACAGCTTGCCAAAATTCCCCTATTTGTTGCAAACTTTTCTTGGTGGATGAGTCCTTTTTCTAGCAAACTGGCACTAGAAGTGTTCCCAATTATTAGTGAAACTGTGGAAAATAACTAGAGATGCTTGCTCGTATTGCCAATGAAGATGTTGCTAAAGGTTCTATTAGTTCCAACTTGGGCCAATGAAAATGAGACCAATCAGGTGGAACTTTGGCCTGAGCCATTTGCAATTCAACCACACTGGGGTAGAATTTTAAATTCAACTATTCATAGATTGATGAAGATGGAAGTTTAATTGAATAAAAATACTAATTAAGCATACCATGCAAGTGATCACAAAGCAACCTCACACCAACTCAGTAAGATTGATTTTGTTCAACCTGAGCCATGGTTATCTCGTCTCAACTAAGTCTGAATTTTTTTCAATCCAACTTGAACCAGATAAAGATAGTTTAGTGCAAAATTAAAGCAAGCTGAACTATTTTTGATGTCCAACTCTAACTGAAACCAAACTTCATTTGTTTTAATTTCAATTTCACTTTATCATTACAATGTGTTCAGTTTGGTTCTAAATCATGGTCAATTTGTCATCAAAACAAACCTTATCTACCCCTATAGCCGCTATGCTCTTGGGCTTTTGTTGTACTTTTATGGCATTAATGTTAAAAGGAGAAGATAAAAGTGGACTAGATTTGCATCCTTCTTATAGCTTCGTAAGAATATAGTAGAAAGCAACTCCGTGCAATAAATGAGAGAGTTAGCCTATAGGCATGGTAAGACTCAATATTTGGAAAAAAATCAAGGGAAATTTTTGAATTAACATAGTCCGTATATCTAATTTGGAGTATTTCATCAGTATATGAAATCAAAAAGTACTTATTCCAGATAAAAAGTGAGTAAGAAATTGATGTAGAACGGATATGGAGGGAGGGGGTCATTTGAAATTTGAATTTTAAATTAAATGGAAAAGATAGGGAAGGGGTACTTAATTAATCCCTTAAATGGAGTTCTTTTTTTTTTTTTTAAGGAATTAATTAAAATAGGAGAGAGATTGGGGGCCTTAATAGAGAAGCATTAATTATAGAGAGAGGAGATATGAGAGAGGGGGCGGCGGGTAGAGAGAAATTTCAATTTTCAAATTAAAGAAAACAGATTTTATTGCTTTCCAATTGTGCTTTGCATCCCATAAGGAAAGCATTAAGGAGTAATTCAAAATTTGGATGTAAGGGAGAGGGGCCGGCCAAGCAAGAGGGGATTGGGGCCAAATTTGAAAGAGAATTTAAAGAGGGCATGGATATGGGGCCTGTTAAGAGAGAGAGGGGGGAATAGGGGTGTATAGGTTAAATGTATTTGGGCTCGAGATTAATTAACCAATCAATTTTAGAATTGATTAATTAATTGAATGAAAGAAGTTTCCAAAATTAATGTAATTAATGAGGATGAATTTGAAATTCAAATTCGATTAATTTGAATTTAAAATCTTTCCAAATTAATGATAACTTAAATAAGGAAGGAGGGATTTTTGGAGGGAAGTGGGGTTAGGGAAGGAGGTGGCTAGTGGGTGGGTGGAACCTTGGTGGATTTCGGCCAAGGAGGGGGAGGAGGAAGGGAGGGGCTGGTGTAGGCCGATGGTGAGGAGGTGATGGGGTGAGAGGATCGGCGCCTTGGTGGAGGGCTTGAGGAGGTGGAGGTTTAGGGAAATAAGGAAAAACAAAATAAAGAAAAAAAAAAAAGATAGAACCGCGAGCCTTGGACTCTTCCGAAGACTGACGCGTGATACGATGCCCTTCACCAAGGGACTTCAAGCCACGAGCCCGGACCCATCCTGCGGCTGGTGGAAATCACAATTCCCTCCATAAGGATTCTTACTAACGTCCTCCCAAAGAACAAAAGTGTATAACAAAATTTTATTAAAACTCCATCATATCATTATACTAGCAAGGGCCTCTATATATAGGCCTCAGAAATAAAAGAAACTAAAATAAGATGATCATGCCCCTCGAGCTTACATAAGAATAGACCCTTAAGTAAGGGTAAAAACGGAAAATGCATAATTAAAAAAACATAAAAATTACAAATAAAATTGAAGATAACGTAAGATGATTACGGCTATCAATCTTCAGCTCCTCGAATAAGCATGGACGGTTGGATGTCCGCATCAGAAATAAATTTATGTGAAAGACTTTGATTGTTGTCACATCATTTTACGTGAAAGGCATCATTATCTCACTGGGTGTTGTAGTCTTTTAACTCACTCTACATATTTGCAGGAACTTGTAAAAGTATTTTATCAAGATTGTGCTATGCATCAGTGGATTTTGAATTGCTATATTTTCATTAATACTGGTTACTTACATTGTTAAGTTTGTTAAGTACTTGAGTGACTTTTTTTTGGATTTAATGGAACTGTTGTATTAGCTTGATTGTTTATAAAACATAAACCGCATAAATTGCATTTGGATTTGGTCCTCAGGTGCATGATTTAGTGATATTATTACATTGCTAATGTATAGGTTGATAATTAAATATATAAATTTTGTAAAAGCCACTCAATCTAGCCATTATGCTCCCAAAATGTTTTATGTCAGGCATGAGAGGATATTAGAGTAAGGTTGATCTGATAGAACTTAAGTACTTTAGATGAGTATGAATAGAGATATTAAGAGTGGTAGTGCATGTAAGATCTTAGAGAGGGTAGTTTATGTAATAAAGCGAGTATCATATGTTATTATTATTGTATTCCTTATGTTTGATTTATAATTTTTTAGCACCATGGCACCTGAATTCTAAGGATCTAGTGAGGGGAGTGATACGCCTTGGTATCAAAAACAGCCAACGAACAAGGACAATGTCAACAAACAACATATTTTTATTTGATAAGAAATGAAATACAAACGAGCAAGATACAATGGTCCTCTTTCAAGAGAAGAACATTCTCCCCCAAACCGTAGACGCCATTAGGATCCCTCACAAAATAGTAGACAACAATCACTCACAAAATTCTCCATACAAAACATAAACCCTACTACTTATAGCAAACAATAAACAATAAATTCCAAAACAGCCCTCACCCACTTCTCTCTCAAATCAGCCCAAAAATTTGCCCTCTACAATTTGGAAACATCTCCTAACTAATCACCTCCAAATCAACCCCCAAATCTGCCCTTAATTAGGAAACATCTCCTAATTAATCCCCTCCAAATCATCCCCCAAATCTCCCCTCTTCAAATGAAAAATATTTCCTAATTAATCACACCTCTAAATCAACCCCAAAATATGCTCTCTTCAATTATAAAACATCTCCTAATTAATTCCCTTTAATTAAAAACCTTCCTAAACAGCTCCCTCTTGATTAAGAAACTTCTAATTCTATCCAAATCAAATCGGCTAGCCCATCAATACTCCCCTCCTAAAGTGTCACCTTGTCCTCAAGGTAAAATGAAGGAAATTGCATAAAGAACTAGATTAATAGCACTGAACTGAAAAATGGACTGTCACTGGGTCTAATAATTCCTGCCTCTAGCATCTCCCTGATCAATCTCTCGATCTCATCTTTTTTGAGTTGGGGAGAACGATACGGACAATCACTGATATGTAAAACTCCTTCCATCAAAATGATAGCATGCTCGTGTTCCCGCGGAGGAGGCAACCTCTGAACTGACTAAAACACCTCTCGATACTATTATAGGAGTGGTTGAATCATGTATGGTATCTTCTCCCTATCTTCTTCAACTTCCAAACTCTGGAACTCCACCAAAAATCTCCCTCCTTCCCCTTGTAGGGCACGAACCATGGTTTTCAAAGAAATCATTGCATTGGATAAGTTGGGGTCTCCCTTACTTACCATCTTTTTCCCCTCCACCTAGATCTCCATGGCCAATGCCTTCCAGTTCACCTTGGTCTCTCTCAAGGTTTGTAGTCATTTCATTCCCAAAATCAAATCAGTACTTCCCAAATCTAATAAAAGGAAATCCTCCATGATGTGAATCTCATGCAGCTCTACCTCCAAACCCTGACATATCCCTTAGCTCTTCTTTACCTTTCATGTGCCCATCACCACTCCAAATCCTCTCATGTCTACCAGTTTCAACCCCAATTTGTCTACCACCTAGTTCGATATGAAATTATGAGTAGCCCCACTATCTACCAAAATCGTCACCACCTCTCCTCCTATCTATCCCGTCACTTTCATATTATGATTCGGGGTGAATCTCACTACCAAGTTCAATGTAACTTCAGCCACCTCCAAATGCACGGGCTCCTCTTCCTCTTCTTCCTCCCCTGTTGCCTCTACCTCGTTCACCTCCTCCTCATCACACACAATGAGAATCTGCAATGTCCGATTTTTACACCTATGCCCTGATATAAATTTCTTGTCGCGTCTGAAATATAGCCTCTTAGTTCTCTTGTCTTGCAGTTCAGTATCAGTCAACCTATTAAAATCCCCTCCCTGTCAGACTCTCGAGCTGCCCTCCTTTGGAGTCACCCTTTTAACTGGTACAGTCTGCATCCTAGGTGCCAGGAAAGTGGTCGTCGTGCAGTAAGAACCTTCTCAATTGACCCCTTTACTACTCTTCTGTAGTAATTTCTTGTCCTTAATCATCTGAGCCAACACCATTACCCCAAATTAATGCTCGCTCTCGGCATCGTTTGAGGAAGCAATCATAAATGACAGGTTTACACATTCCTTTTGAGTTTTTTTTTTTTTTTTTGGACTTTTGAAACAATTAAGTCAAATTCACACATACATCATATACACAAGCTTTAAACCTAAGGCCTATTGAATGCTATTCAAAGCTCACAACCAACATATCAATATGAGCTATATTCTTTTGAGTCATTCAAAGCTACTTTTTAAGTCTTCTTAAGTGTACCGTCATTCCTCAGTACAACATACAAGCATGTAGTAAGTCGAAGCTAATGAAATCCCACTTTGTTGAGTTGAGACCATAAAGCTGAGGGAATAATTAAGTTTTCAAGGGTAGCGTTGCTCACACCGCTATTAAAGATTCCATCCCCAACCTTTATCATAAACAATAAAATAGACTCTTAATTATTTATTTAGGCTAGGGTTTAGAGCTTTTCTTTCAAAAGTTAACGTTAGCAAAAGTCACATTACATCCTAGGGCCGGTTTGGATGCAGGATTTAGGCAGGATTTAGACAAGATTTAAGCTAAATCCTGCCAAACGCGAACAGGGTAAGTCTAAGCTAGACTTCAAGGCATTTTCGGCACTTTTGCCAATTCCGGATTTCGTAAATCCGTCATTTTGACCGATTTAGCCGAAGAAGCGCGAAAGGGGAGAAATATCGTTACCTTCTCGGCGAGCTCCTGCGCGACTTCCGACCCGCAGCAATCACGACGTCGTCGGAGTTGGAGAAGCTTCACGCGAAGCAGGACAGCAACGTCGTCGGAGACGGAGAAGCTCAAAGCGACACTTTCATACTCTACTTCATGCGACAGCAACGGAGAATTGGAGAGGAAAAGCGGTAGAGATTAAATATTAAAATAATTAATTAGCTAATTCGAAATATAAATAATTAATTAGATAATTATGATATAATTATATAACTAGTTAGTAATAAAATATTTTACTGATTAATTAGATAATTATTAGTAAAATTAATAATTATAAACTCATTAAATAATACTTAAAAATTTTAATGAAATAATTAATAGTATAATTAATAATTAAATGATTAATCATTATACATAATAGTTAAATAATTGATTGTATAATTATCATTATAATTAGTATTAAAATGTTTATGAAAATAATATCAAAATAAATAATTTGATAATTAATATTTAAATCATTAGCTAAGTTATTAAATAATTAAATTAATTTTAATTTATATTATTCATAATTATAATTTATTGACGTTAATTAAAATTAATAAGTAATTCATATTTAAAATATAAATAGTATATGAGTTAACCACTTTAATCCAGAATAATATTGTAAAACAATCTCACATTATTTATAAGAAAATTATTTCTTACGAAACAATTTTCAAAATTTAACATCTTCGAGATTTAATAAACATGAATTTAGAGAATTTTTAAAACTCTACTTAAATCAAATCCTTGTTGCATCCAAACAAACATATCTCTAGAGTCCTCTGCTAATCATCAAGCGCTCCATCAATTAAACATGAGTAGGGCTCTCTGTTATCTAGATCACATCCTCCTACGCCCATGCCGTCGAGTCTGCCTTCCACTCGGCCTCCTCTTCTGCACTATCCTTCCCATTATCTGCTCGCTATTGGCAATCACATAGAATCTGAAAAGCTCAGGCTAGTCGAGTCTAGTTAAGGAGAGATTATTATGCGTGCATAATCCAGACAAAACTTCTCGTCCAGACTTCAATAATGAGACATGTATTTTTTTCTCTTTTGTTTGTACATAAGAGAGAGAGATGTATCTTCATATTATTGAAATCCAAATGACATCCAGACTGCGCACCTAATAATTTTTCCAAGTTAAAACCCATCAAACCATTGTAATTTTACTTATAAGTCACAGTCTACAACTTAGGCTTCATTTGAAATGACTTTCTTACTATTCTTTAAAGTAACTTTTTAACAAAAAGATTTCCATATACAAAAATTTCATAAACTAAAAATTTTATACGATAAAATTACTTTAAAAATAATAAAATATTATAGTAAAAAATTGTCTACTAAAAAATTACTTTAAAACACAGTTGTCCCAAACGAAACCAGTGCAGTAAAATTTTCACCCTATCACTCCCCTAACACCTCACGATCCCAATTTCCTTTTTATATTTAAGTTAGGCTTCGTTTGGGACGGCTTTCTTACTGCTTCTTAAAGTTGCTTTCTAAAAAAAAAGCAGCTTTAAGAAGCAGTAAGAAAGCCGTCCCAAACGAAGCCTTAATAGCCGAGTCTTCTCATAAGTTTTTCAAAAACTTTATCAAGTGAATACATATTTTGAGATAGCTTACACAAAATAAAAGTGGAATGATGAAATAATTTAGGTCTTCAATTCTTCTAATACAAATTATTGAGTGTTCTTCAAATGAAAATAACCTAATTAAAAGATAATTAATCTTTCTAATATAATCAAATCATCACCTTTAAGCAATCTTGGGTGAAGGCAGGCTGATGACACAGAGAGTAGCTCCATCTGTCTCTCTGTTTGTTACTGAAGTGCATTACTTCTGTTTGTTACTGAAGAAGCCCGTAAATCAACAAGTAAATATACAAAACAGGGATTGAATCATCTCTTTTTCTTCAATAATGCGTCCGCACGCAAGAAAATCTTGTCAATCTCATCTAATTCTGCTATGTTCAGATCCTTCTGTTCAAAGCCACCTCTCTTAGCAGCAGCAGAGATCCGACGTAGATGCTCCTGAAAATCTTCAGTACTTCCATCGTCTTCTGAAGGAAACCTATCAATTCCATCTAAATACAGATGGCGTGGGCGTGAATTTTCTTTCTCCTCCGCTCCCGCATCAGAATCTGTCTCGAAAATATCAGAAAGATTTTCAGATTCTGAAATGGCGCTGGACTCCATTGAGGATTCATCCTCCTCATCAGAAGTAATGCTTCCTAATTCACTTTCTATACTGATTCGATCTTCTTTGCTTCCTTCTCCAAGCTCAGAGAATTTCCTCTTGATGTCTGCAACTGAATTTTCTTCTCGGTTTGTTAATTTGGGTTTATATTCCTTGTCACGCTTCATCCCTATATGGACATCGTCAAGATCTTGTTCAAGCTTGGGAATATACCTTCTAACAGCATGAAGAGCATCTCTGTACTTAGACTTATCCAGGGCCTACAAAATTTTGAAAAATAGATTAAGCAGTTGTCATAGCAAACAAACTCAAGTAATCAACATTCGGTAAGTACAGTCTTCAACAAATCCACAACCAGAAAAGCCAGAATTGTAAATATATAATATAGCATCTCCTAAAATGAATAAGAAGATGATATTCTGCACAATCAATATTCAAGCATACAACTAGCTCAAAATAATATTATTTGAACCTCAATATACATGATAACTAAAATAATTAGGGAAATTTACATACCTACCACTTTATTTTATGCTATTTACATATCTAACATCCAAGCATTAATATTACATGCCTACCACCCCATATATAACTTTAATATCAAATATAGCACTCCTATAATTCATTTCTATCATTCATACCATCCTATAAACTTTAATATTTTATTCCATGCACCCAAATTTGCTCTATGGGTGATAGGCATGTAATATTAAAGGTTTGGATATTAGATATGTAAATAGCATGAAATGAAGTGGAATGTATGTAAATCCCCCAAATAATTAATGAATTATACATAAAACCATTGATAATTTGCATCCCTTATATATTCAAATGTAATCAATGCAACCATAAAATTTCTTAATATTAAATTCACAATCAGTGACCACATAGATAATTATAGAAATGCATAATAAACTGAATATCAATAATACAACATAGCAATTCCAGCAGACCTGTAGCAACTTCAGCATTTCAGGCTTCAGCACACCTGAAGCCTAAACAGTACAGCACACCTAAAGTAATACAAAACTAAACCCTTACAGCATAATAGCATACAATAGTATTTCAGCAGTAAATCATTTCAGAACAAGAGGTCAAACCTTTAAAATTAATTTTTCAGTGAATGAACAATATAAAATACTAAAGCATTTCAGCATTTGCCAAGTAACACCGTCTCTATTACTACATTTCAGAATACTAAAGCATAATAGGTTCATAATTTTAGTAGTTTAACACCATCGCAGCACAATTTGAGGATAAAAAATAATTACCATCAAGGCAACATGAGAAGTAAAGTACCAAAAAACCAGGTTCGAACAACAACATAATTCCCAACAGCAAACTCCAATAACAGTCGAAGTCACAACCTAACAAAAAAAGAAAAAGGGGCATCGGTTAGGGTTAGAGTTTCACAACCCTAACTGGCTAACCCAAGAAAATCGTCCCAACAATCTCCATTCTCCAATAATAACCAGAGCATGAGAGTAACAAGTAACAACCCCCACACTCCACACTAAAATAATAAATATTTGTCATCAGGGTTTCACTTTCACATCCCAAATGGCCAAACTGAATAATTGAAAGAAAAAAAAACTACACTTAAAGAGTTTGATTCGAAAATCAAAATGCCAGACTTAGGCTTCGTTTGGGACGGCTTTTTTATTGCTTTAGGCCAAAATGAGGCCTTCATGATTATATCATGATAGAAGAACGGGATGGGTTAGAGAAACTGATTAGAGAAATGTTGCAATTTGAAATTATTATAAAAGGATAAGGGAAGAGAGAACTTGCAGTTCTAGACTCGTCACATGACACCTCCTCAACTGCTTAGTAATAAGAAACATAGAGAACTAAGGGAAAGGGAAGGGGCAGCACTAGAACTCCAGAATGTCTAGCCATCCAGAAATGTCGCGTTTTTGCACATAGAGGAAAACCAAAGCTTTATCAATTAGAAATTAGGCATTGCATTATGGGACGATGCAAGGATAGGCCAATTAATAGCCCAATCATTTTATATATTTGTTTATGGCCTATGGGTGCCATGGGCAAAGCGAGTGCAGGATGGGGGACACGGGTCAAAATCGGGTTGACACGAACCAGTCCCATTTTATAAATGAGTCAAAAATAGGACCCAGACCCGGACCCGAACTCGACCCATTTCTTAATTGGGCCGACCTTAACCCGAATTTCCTTGTTCATGTTTGGGTCAGGTTTCAAGGTTGTGTCACTAATTGACACCCCTACATATCATTCAGACGATCAGCTCTCACAACAAAGTCAATATGACGCCTCCCCAAAAAAATTATCTGCTGCCAAAAGTTAGCAAACAAATTCATGATCGAGCACACTAATCTGTCACAATCCAGTTCCATTATAACTTCAATGACTCACTGTGAAGAAGCTCGTCATTCTCGAAGCACCAACTAGATATCGAGTTAGAACCCTAACCCTCACTTTCAGAACACTCCTCACTGGAGGGAGAATCTCATTATCACCCGATGAAGTATAGCCCTTGGAACCCTATGAGGCTTCAGCACCCTCAATAGGCTCATTTCCTTTCTTGGAATGATAGTCTCCTCACCCCTGGCCACCAGCTCGGCCGGCACATCTACTCTATCATATGATTCCATAGTCTCATTTCCCCTTGCAAGCAAGCAGGGGAGGGCAGCCCTATTCTTCAGGCGTCTGTGGTCTCTTGGCCACCAACACCTTCAAGCTCGTTCCTACATCAACATCTTTATGCTTCTTTGAGCAGACCTCCCGGTGAAGTTCAGACCAAGTCGGAGAGGCCTTCTCCTTCGGCCTCATCGTTGACAACACAGACATCTTCGAAGACGCAAGGTTTGTGGGGAAAGTGCAACATGCGACCTTCCCTGAAAAATACATACATTGAATCAATCCAAGACAAAAAACTCATCTCGTCAAGACAAGGAGATACCCTAAAAAATCCTATAAACATTCTAATAAGCGACATGATACTGAATGATCCATGGCTCATTCTTCACCAATGGCAAAATCGTCACCTCTTCGGGGGATAGCTCAGGAAGGACCAACTTCTTCCTCAATGCCACCAAAGCAATCGGCACCATCCAACCAGGAAGACTCGGAATAACAATGAATTCTCCTTTCAATCTTGAACTCGAACGCATGGGAGAATCGCCGTGAATACATGCCTAAATAGGTTCAGTGACCACAGCAAGTCACGTTCCCTCAACAGAGAAGAAAACTATACAATTTCCTTTACAGAGTTTGACAGAAGTTGAGTCAGAATGACTCCATAGAAATTTAGAATTTATTTTAGCTCGGCTCACAAGGGAAACTACGGCCCCAATATCAAATGATCAACAGAAATGACGAATTCCCCATCTTGCACAGAGTTGATATGCTAATCTTCCTTTGCCGAGCTTACAGAGTAGTTATGAGCAAAGCAGAAAGCATGAAACACATAATCAATATACTCATTGGTAAGGCGAGTACTCAATAATCCTTTCTCATTAAGGAATCTACTCGCACACTTGCACAGATCAGACATGTTGGGCAAAATGTTCGAAAACATAAGAAGCAAAGGAGACGAAGCGAATGTACCATTCTTAAGGCCCTACCTCTTCTATTTATAGTCTGAATCTAGCACAAGGAGATCGAAGCCTCTCAAATCAAATTTAATGCAAAAGATTACGTCATTCACTCTCATCATTATAAGATTCGATGAACCTTATCGCACTATATACTATCCATTACAACGATAATTCTCAAAATCCGTGGCACAATTGTCGCCTCTTCCTATTCGATGAGACAAAAACAAATCTTTTTTTTTTTCAGGACACTTCCAAAAGCCAAAAAAAACTTTATTCAAAAGGGGAATCGCCCTCAGCAAATACATAGCTCAAAAAGGAAAAAAATCAACCCATGCGACGATTAGATCAAAAGCGCTCCAACACAAGATCTCTTGTCATTCTTGGCACTAATCCTCCCATAATGTCAAGTACTCAACAACATAATGAGCACCCTGGAGGAACCCCTCCTGCTTAGTTTGACTCAGCATCATACAACACTCGGCTTCCATCGAGTTTATTCAACTACACATGGCCACCAACTAATCATTCTGCGAGGTTGTCGCACCTCTCTGATCATCATTGCCTGCAAAAACTCCCTCTCCGCCAACGCCGGGCTCGAACCGCGTCTCTGGATTTGCCTATCGACTCCAAGGCTACCAACTGCCCGACAATTTCTTCTGATGAAATATGCTCTGGGGTGAGGTGGGGTCGGTGAACAAGGTATACAAAAAGGAGTTCAACGACTGCTCAACAATCTCACCGCTAGTCCGCTCCTCAGAGACCACTTCGACAACCACTTCAACAGCAATAGCAATGCCACCACCAACTACATTATGCTATAGGGCACCCACCTCTTTCAGAGCGGCCTCACCCACCCACTCCTACGTGCCCTCGAGGGGAAAAGAATGATTTCTTCCATCATCTGAAGGCCCATCAAGTTCATCAGTCACAGCAAGGGCAATAGAAGAGACTGTCTCCTTCATCCCCACAGCAAGGTCAGACAACCGATCATCTCAATGATAACCAGATCCCTAACATCAACACTCATCCTCTTCGACGAAGGACCCGTACAAAGATCCGTCGAGTCCACGGATACTCGCACCTCCTCTCCAACAACAGCCCTACTCGGCACATCCTCTTCCACATTTGCCACCTCAATACCAAAAGTAACTCGCACTCTCATAAAGGTTGCCTTCCTGAAAGAACATATGCCTAAATGAGATGTAAGATTCATCCCATCAAATTCATGTAAGGCTCACAAGTTGGAAGTAAATGCATGTATCTGATGGGCTCAAAGCCAGTATTTATAGAGCAACCTGGTGATGGGACCGTTCAGTCATCAAGTGACGCGCTCGTGCCATGGGTCAAGGCAGTAAATTCGCATTTACTCACGTGTTTCTTTGATTTATGATTCATTTATCCAAACTTTTTCGACGTCTGATGATCAAAGGGTTGAATAAATTGGGGAACTAAATGTCCACCCATGACTGCTTGTGCAAGTACCTTCTCGCATGTATCTAACATGTTGCATTCGAATCGAGCAGGAGGACTCCCTCCTCTTTTAGGACAATATGATCACAGGAATTGCTCAAGAGCTGGGAAGAAGCTTATCATTGGAGCACGTCAAATCTCCGCTAGCACTTCCTCCAAGTAGTCGCCTTCCCCAGCGGACGCGACCTTAGAAGTTCCTCTCTCAGTCGGACAAATACTTAATCACCTCGGCCAAAATCAAATCTCCAAGTGAGACGGAGCAATAATCAAGCTAAAGATAGATCTCTCTCCCATGAGACATCTCTCATGAATGGCTCATCACTGAGCTTAGAAATCAACATCAAATCTCTCCCCCTCTCTTAAACGGAGCTTAGAAATCAACGTCTGATGATCAAAGGGTTGAATAAATTGGGGAACTAAATGTCCACTCATGACTGCTTGTGCAAGTACCTTCTCGCAGGTATCTAACATGTTGCATTCGAATCGAGCAGGAGGACTCCCTCCTCTTTTAGGACAATCTGATCGCAGGAATTGCTCAAGAGCTGGGAAGAAGCTTATCACTAGAGCACGTCAAATCTTCGCTAGCCACTTCCTCCAAGTAGTCGCCTTCCCCAGCGAACGCGACCTTAGAAGTTCCTCTCTCAGTCGGACAAATCCTTAATCATCTCGACCAAAATCAAATCTCCAAGTGAGACCGATCAATAATCAAGCTAAAGATAGATCTCTCTCCCATGAGACATCTCTCATGAATGGCTCATCACTGAGCTTAGAAATCAACGTCAAATCATCACTCTCCCCCTCTCTCTTAAGCGGAGCGATCTCTACCCCACCCCCCCCCCCACCCCATTCTATTCTGCCTTCATCGTCCTCGTACATAGATCCTCAAGCTTACAAATGGTGTATACAATAAGGTCTGGTATAATCCGCTGGACAAATCAAGATTCAAAAAGAGTATCAATTGGTTTCCCCCCATCAAACTTGGTTCTTTTAAGAGGTCAAGAGCATTTTTTTCCTTGAAAAATGATAATGCCATATTTGTTCCTAACAACCTCCGTGCCAAGAAAATATGAGTGGATTAAGATCTTTAATTTTGAATTCTTTAGCTAGCCTTTTTTCAAGGTGTTTGTTTCATAATCATGATCCCCTGTCAATATGATAGTATTAATATATATAATTAGTATAGTTGACTTATCATATTTGTGTTTATCAAATAATGTGTGAATGAACTTGTTGGAAACCTTGTTCGCACACAACTTTGATAAATCATTTAAATCCTACTCTAGGTGAATGTTTGAGGTTGTAAATAGATTTCTTTAATTTGCATACTTGATCTATACTTTCAAAACTGCCGACTCTAGGAAGTAGATTCATGTATACTTCTTCATTCATATCACCATTCAAAAAGACATTATTAACATAGAGTTGGTGAAGAGGCCAATCAAGGTTAGCCACCACAAAGAGGAGAGCCCAGCGCATTAAGTTTTGCCACTAGAGCGAATGTCTACAAGTAATCAACTTGAAAAGTTTGAGCAAATTCTTTTAGTATCAATTTTGCCTGGAATATTTCCATAGATCTATCATGGTATTATATAATAGTGAAAACCCGTTTACATCCAACAAGAATTACACCGTTAAACTTATGAACTACTTCTTAAGTTTCACTTTTCAAGAGCATTCATTTCATCCTACTACAACCTACCTACATTTTGTTTTATTAAGAGCCTCTTCTATAATCTTTAAGTTATAAATTTATACAAATTTGAAAATCAGAGTTTCTATTGAAGAGGACTAAGATTATATCTCACAAATATGTTTAAAAAGGCTTCAATAGATATATTTAGATGTCCAACTCATATAATTAAGAAAAAAAGAATCAATACTTAAAAGCTGAAGTCATGAAAAAAGGGCCCTATCTAATCTTATCTAATATCTACCCTATCCTTATTTACATACAATGTACTCTTCTAGTATTTCATTCTCTCCAAGATGAATATAAAAATCAATTTGAATAGAGTTTTCTTAATTAGTAAAATAAATTTTAAATATATTTTTAAGTATTTAATGGAATAATAAAAAAAGCCTTCATTTTCGAGGATAATTTTTTAAAGAAAAATATGCTTTAAGTGGGAAAAGAAGATATTCTATATAAAAGGTTGAAGCCATGCAAAATAGGAAAGTCACATCTATCTGATTTATCTAATGTACTACCTAATCTACATAATACGTTATCTTCTTACTATTCCATGCTTTCTCCCTTTAATTAATTTAAAAAATTAAATTGAAATAAATTTTCTTCTATTTCATAACATGCTTAAAGTAATCTCAAATCTAATTTTAAATAATATAATATTGGTATCAAGATAAAGATATGGATTTAATTGATGATCCAATTTTATTGTTATAATTTTTAAACTGATTAATAAATATGCTAATATTTAGTAAAGACTCAAACCAATTATTGATCAAATTTAATTTAATATATTGAATTTTTATTTTGAAATATTCTCAAAACCATATAATAATATCAACTTTATCCTCTGACATTATATCACATTGTAATAAGAAAATAGCCATATGAAATGAGTGAAAATAAAAAATATTAATTTTTTCAAAATTATTATGATCTAAAAAATTGACATAATAGCAATATCATTTATTCCCTCATAAATTATGTGGAATTATTTTCCATATATCTATCTATTTATTTATCTATTTATAAGTGCTTATGACAAGGACCTTTGAATTTGACTCAATAGTCTAAACCAAGAAGTTACAAATCTATATCCTAAACCCCACAACATCCCTAACAAACCACTCATCCCACAACTTATTGTTAATAACCTTAAATGTCATCATGATTCCCTTTGAGCACCATCACCCTCATCCCGCACTCAACCTCGCTACCTTTACTCCCTTCCATTTTAATTGTTCATTCCAGTATGCTCAACCAATTGATGTTTCCACCATTACTCTCAAGCGGATAATGGAGTTCATCTTAACCAAAATTCTTGTCGTCCAGCGTGCCACTAAAAAGATCTGTCAAAGTGATTGTATTCTCTCTCTATATCAATTTCATCCACCTCTTCACAAAAAGAAAAGTACAAAAGCAAGCACAAACATTTATGCAGTTGAGCACACCTCCAATTCTTTCCCATCCACTCACTTTGTCATCAACAAAATTGTGCCCTACAGCAAAATGCCCTCCTCCCCTTCCTCCACCCATACATGGCTCCATCTCCATCTCTCACAACCCATGCCAACCATAAAGACCACTAAATTGTTCAAAACTGGCCAAACCTTAACCTTATCAAATTTTAATCATGTCCTGATTAGTATCTGAATTGGATTTGGTCAGGTAACTGCAGAACATTTTAATGCCTAAGTACGTGAAAAGCAAGGTCATGGAATCCAGTTTCAAATTTTCAACTAAGGCCTCGTTTGGGACGGCTTTCTTCATGCTTCTCAAAACGACATTTTAGTATAAAAATTAAAATTTTAGTACTAAAAAGTTGTTTTACGAAATAGCAAAAAAACCGTCCCAAACGAAGCCTAAATCAAACCCAAGATCAATTTCCCTACGAAGTCTTACCTTTTCAGCTACTTTAGAACTTGCACTCTACAACTTTGTCTAGATTTTGCAAAAGATATTTTATGACGGGAATGTGATGTTAAAATTAAAAACATTGTTTTCTAGGTTACTAAAGTAACAAAAGAGAGAGAACAAAGTCTTACCTTCTTCCTCGTCAGAGTAATCTTTGGTGACATTATTTCTGTTGGAGGCTGTGAATAGTTCTTTCCTCTATACATTATTATTGTATTATCCTCACTGATCTCAAGTACAATTCCGCCACTTAATCTAGCTAGCTCAGCTGCAATTTCTCGGACCTCCTCTGGAGTGAAAGTCTTCACTATAACCTTCAAGGTCTGATGTTTCTTCCAATGCAAATGCATATTAAGAATAACTCCTTGGAAAATCCCCCGTCTTCCAACTGGGACATAATTCTTGCATTTTTGGCCCAACTTAACCAAGTAGAAATGCTCTTCTGGTGTAAGTACCTCAGGATCGTGCATAGTGACCGACGAGTCTTTAGGTTCAATTTTTTGTAATGCTTCAACAAGATGTCCTTCCTTTTTTCGAGCCTATTAGAGGAAAAAAAAAAACATATCATATATTCATTAATATTGAAACAAGTTTTATGAACTTTTTAATGAACAAGCAAACATAAATTCATGACTCGCCTTCCTCAATTTGAATAAAATCTTCTCCTCTGATGTCATTCTTTCATACTCCTTTTTCTTCTTCCACCTGAAGAACTTTAGCCACCTCACGACAGCTCTTTTTCCTTTTAGCTTCTTTCTTTTGTATTTTGGTACATCATTAGCAGCATCTGGTACTGCACTTATCATACTGTCATTCTCCACTACATTTTGTCCCGTTGTCCCAAGCTGGTGGGTTGTATGAAGATTGCAATAGCCCATGAGGCGACCTCCTCCAAGATTACTGGCAATTCTACATATTGGGATTCCATCATTCCATGATGAATCTTGAACAAATCAAAAGAAAAACTACTGCAATAAGGATTATAAGGCACATCAACCATCAATGTATTCCATAGTGCATGGATACAAAAAAATAATTCAAATGGATTACTACAGTATTGATCAAAAATACATTCACATCAAAACATGATTAAGTTGATCTATAATATAAGATGCACTGAAATTTGAGGGGAAAATAAACTTGAGACTGAAAATTAGTAAACTGCATAGCATCAGCAAAAGTGACCTCATCAAAATCAATTTTGAGATCAAACAAAAGAAAAACTTTTGACATTTTGATTTTGATCAATTTGCATGGAATAATGCCCTGACAATAAGCAAAACATGGCCTAAAGAATAAACACGAGTTGAATTTCAAAAGAAACTTGTAGCTTTAAATAATGTTAAAAACATGATAAATCCAAATATCAACAAAAAAAGCTTCCTCACCTGAAAGGTCGTATATGCTTCTGTATATTTCTATTTTCTGCAAATACGGAGGACATTAGAGAATCACAGCTAAAATTTCTAATAGCCAAATGATATTCATATAGGTTGAAGAAATTGCAGTCCTTTAGGTTGGTAGGAGAGGCCCTGGGCAAAATAAAATATAGTAAAACTGACGTTAGAAGGAATAATAGGTAGAACAGTTGAATCATATCACAACAACTTTTACCTGAGGGATGAGTAACATGAAGTGGTTGGATTTAAGGAAAGAAGATTATCTAATCTTCTCTTTAGACTTTGGGCAAAAATGTAACAAGATCCCATTTTTCACTAGGCCCTCCCAGTTGTAGGGAAGCTGCCTCTTAAGTTATGGATGAAACTGGCCATGGAAAGCTGGACTAGGATTAGTTGTGAATGAACTCTCTTAAGTCCAGTACTATTCTGCACGCTAAAACATAGAGGAACAGAGGTTCTATGAAAAAAATTAAAAATCAAGTCAATGAAAGTAAGGAATGATGATTTCTCAACAATTACAACAAATATACAAACTATATTAACTCAGAAAAAAATACAAGGTTTATGTCTATGAAGTCACAGTTACACATATTTAGTTTGATATCCCTATCAAAGAAACTAGAAATTTTGTACGCTCCACATAATGGCATATCTCAAGTAATAGCATCAATGAACATGTTCTTTCTTTGTACACCAACCAACAGGTTACCAAATGATTAACTGTGTGTGGATCAATTAATGCAAATGTACATTAAAATTCCATCGGCTTCTAAGACTGTGACAGTAATCAAGGATCTTTGAAAAATACGGGACTCCAGATATATACTGGATGAAAAAAAAAACTTCACTTACATTTTTAACAAACTGTCATCATCAGGTTGTAAATGGAAGCAAAGTTCATCAAGTTGTAAATGAACGTCATCCAGCTGTTCATGTCCATGTTGGTCATCCAATTGTCCACGTTGTTCAGCGATTTTTTTGACAACTTGGTTAAAAGAATAGAAGTACCAACAAGAGAGAAAGGAATATAGAGGTTTAAATGCCCGACATTGTTAGAGCTGTTCAAGGCTCCAGATCACCAAAGTTGCTCATGACTGGAGAGGCCAGATAGCTGGGGGAGTTAAATCCTACCAAACGCCAAAAAACGCAATGGCAAATCTCACGGTAAGTCTAAGCTCGACTTGAGAACATTTTCGACATTTTTGCCCTAAATCCCGAACTTTGTAAATCAGACATTTTGGCGGATTTAACCGAAGAAGAGCGCAAAAGGGGAGAAATATTGTTACCTTCACGGCGAGCTCCCGTCGCGACTTCCGATCCGACAGAACCAATATCGTCGTCGAAGACGGAGAAGCTTCACGCGAAGCAGGATAGCAACGTCGTCAGAGGAGGCGTAGAAGCTCAAAGCGACAGTTTCAAAACTCTATTTCACACAAGACACAGCAACGTCGTCGTCGGAGGCAGAGAAGCTTAAGGGGCTGTTTGGTATCGGATTTACAAGGGGGTTTAAGTCGGATTTACAAGGGGATTTAAGTCGGCGCTAAATCCAGCCAAACAGTTTTTGTGCGCGCGTTAAATATCGGGATTCGTTAAATCCGGGGGATCTTAAGGATTTACGGCTTAAATTCGGGATTTAGTAAATCCGAGGGGTAGCTGAATTTAATCGGATTTATTGATTAACTTAATTAATATAATTTACATTATTAATAATTAAGTAAATTAATTAAATAATTAATTGTATAATTAGTTCATAAATTAATTATCTAATTTAACTTAATTGTATAATTAGTAATTAAATATTAATATAATTAGATTAATTAATATACTTAATATATATATATATTATGAAATATATAATTAATTGTGTAAATAATAATTAATGAGTAATTTGTACTTAACATATTATTAAATTTATAACCCATTATATTTTTTTTTATTTTTAATTATACATTTATTTTTAAGTTATAATTATCTTCTTCACATTTAAATCCCTAATTGCTATAAATCCTGAAATATGTTATCCAACCGTTTCTCAGAATTTAACAGGATTTAACATTTGGCATACCAAACAGTTTTCAAGATTTAACACATTTCGGATTTATTAAATTCGGATTTACAGGATTTACTAAATCCCACTTAAGTTAAATCCCACTTGTTGCCAAATAGCCCCTAAAGCGACGAAAAATTATTAGGTCCGAACACGGGACATAGAAATAATTTCGAACGCTTGATATGTGAAATGTATAGGCGTAAAATTTTAAGTCAAGCGCATTAAAAGTGTATATAAAGTGCAATTAAAATACAGGTAGAGCGCAGTGAAAGTGTAGTCAGAGCATAGTGAAAGTGTACAATCAAAAAGTGTAATCAAAATGCAGTCCACATGTCAAATTTTAAGTGAATATCCGGACTTATTTTTAGGTCCGGTGTCCAGACCTAATAATTTCCCTAAAATGACATTGTCATAACTCTATTTCGCCCGACACTAATGAGGGAAATTATTAGGTCCGGACGTTGTACCTTAAAATAAGTTCGGATATCCACTTAAAATTTGCCACGTGGACTGCACTTTGACTGTGTTTTTTTATTGCACTTTGACTATGCTTTTTGATAGCGCTTTCACTGCGCTTTACCTGCACTTTACATGCGCTTTTGACGCGCTTGACTTAAAATTCCGCGGACACGTCCACATTCCACATGTCAATATTTTATTGGAGTTCGGACGTATCTTTACGTCCGGTGTCCGAACCTAAATATTTCATCTCTACCGCTGGCCTCCATTTGTCGCCGGCCTCCACCCACCCCAACCATGGCCGCTCACCATTGGCTACCACCCGGGATTGGACGCCACCTACGGCTTGCCATCACCGACCACCACCATTGGCCGCCACCACCACCCACAGCCGGACACCACTGCCACCAGCTGCCTCCGCCGCCAATTGCCGCAAACAACCGTCTTGAGATTTTACACTACACTCATTACATCAAATTAAAAAAAAAAAACATTCACCAATATTTATTTTACGTTCATTCAAATAATTCCAAAACATTCATTTTTAAACTTTATTCCTTTTATAATGCATTCTTTTTTTAGCCAAACAAACACCCACTTAAATTAAATCCTAGCTACATCCAAACATGCCCTATTGATTTTTTTTTTTCAGGGAAATTTTTAGGTTAAGTATCATTAACGTCTTAATTAGATGATTAAGCATAGTAAAAAAATTCGAAAACTAAGCATAGTCGTCCGTTAGAGAGGGGTCTTAATAATTTTGTAAAATCGTCCGTTAAACGGGCCACTTTCTTAAAAAGCCGGATCGCAAACCCTAAAGTCGTTCTTCTTCCTCGCCGAGAGTTGAGGTCTGACATTTTTTTGAATTTTTTTATTTTTAAAATTTGTAATTGCAGTATTGTGTTTTATTTGTAAATCTAAACATTTTAACTGTTCAAAGTTGGAGAAAAGATAAATTTTTGGGTTTGGTCAAGTTCCTTTTTTTAGAAAGGTTTTGGGGTTTTTTTTTTTTTAAATCAGATCGTTTGAGTGATGCTTAAATGATAGTGTTTTAGCTAGTTTGTCGTAGTTGTTGTGGAGTGTTTAATGTAGAAAATCCTGGTGATTAATGTAGGATAATTAGTTGTTTAATATTGTGTTTAATTACGTAAATATTTTATTTGAGATATTAGCAACAAGTGATAGGTTAAGTATGCGTCTAAGTGTTGATTAAGGGTTGTTTAGTTGTCTCAAACAAGAATACAGGATAAAATGAATGTAGTGTAAAAATAATAATTTATTTTGTATGGATGAATGTAAAGGATTTATGGTGACTTTTTTTTTTTATTTGAAGTAAAGTGATTGCAATGAAACATGAATAGCAGTGGGGCCAGCAATGATCGAAGGCCACCAGAGGTGATTGGTCGGCAGTTGCCGGAGGTGGTGGGTAGCGGTGGCTAGCCGAAGGTGGCCCTAGGTGGCTAAATGGTGGTGGCTGACCGGCGGTGGCCGGCAGTTGCAGCCGAGGTGTTGGTCGGCGGTGGCCGAAGGTGGTTGTCGTATGTAGCTGATTGGCAGTGGGCAGAGGTGGTGGTCGACGATGGCGGAGGTGGTGGCCGGCGGGCAGAGGTGGCCAACAAGGGGTTGCAATGCCCTTGACTTTGCAGTGTATTTAGATATCACCAAAATCAGAGGAATTCTAAATACAAAAAAATAAACTTCAATGAAATACATTGTATTTGTTTTACTTTATTAGTTTACTTTGAATTTACTTTTCAAGTAATCAAACACAAAAATTCTCAAAACCCCTACATTTGAATAATTTACATTCTAAATGCAGCAAACTAAACAGCCCCTAAGACATTTTTATTGGAAGTTACTTTCAGCTCTTATTTGAGAAAACCCCAATTCAACTCATTAGTTTGTGAGCTAAATTATTTAAAAGATATTTATTTCAATTACACTCAAAATATATAAAAATTCAATCAATTTAATATAAAATTGCAAAAAAAAAAAACATTTATTATATATCTCTTCCATATTTCAAATACTTTTTTAATATTTATCATTTAAAATTTTCTTCTTTTTACATGTTATTATAACAACTTCAATAAAAATATTTTCTCTTTTATAATAAATGAGTCGGCTCTTAAGCAAATTCAAACTAGTAAGATTAAGCTCAAGCCTAAGCTCAATGCTCAAGCAAAAGCTGAGAATAGGTTAAGCATTCAGCGCAACCTTACCTCGAACTAATTAACTAACCAAGCTCAAGCTAAAGATCACTTGAGCTTGACTCTACCTATTTACATCCTTAGCTCAATGCAATCCATCCAACATCTATCGTTGATTAAGGCTTCATTTAGTACGGATTTCTTAATGCTTATTAAAGTTGCCTCTCAGTACAAAAATTAAAATTTTTATACATAAAAATAGCTTTAAGAAGCAGAAAGAAAACCAACTGAAATGAAGTCTAAGATTAGAAAACAATTTTGAGCATTTCTCAAATCAAAGAATCCAATCTCTGCAAAATATACAATAAGCTGACCACATTATCCAATAAGAAAAAAAAATGGTGATATCCTCACACAAATTTTATCATAATAGATTTAAAAAATTAAATCTAATAAATTTAGTATATGTTACTTTTTTCATCCAACAATTAGATATATAAAAAAAAATCATATATTCTATAACATATTTTGCAAAAAACGTAAAAAATTCTGATGCTCTTTTTTTCTTTGAGATAAAAATTTCTAACTCTTTCGCCGTAACAAAAGTAAAAACGAATATTTTAGAACACAGCATAACCTCAGTACTGATTCTGCAAGAAACATGGAAAACAAAAGGAGAGAACAAATGCGAAGCTGTGATCAAGCAAGAGGAAAAAGAAGGCACCAACTTGAACCAGCCATCGAACTTGCAACGAAGATAGAATTTATAAATGTTCTAAGAATTTAAATCTTTGAATTCTACTGGGAGACGCATTGCGACTAGGATTTGGATGTTTTTTTCAATATTGGTGACAGAATGGAGAATAATGTTCTAAGAATATGCCCCTTCATGCTATGCACAATTTCCCATCTAAAGAATTCTGGCTCAACGGTATGTTTTCTTGTTCTCAGGATTTAAGTAATAAGTTCATTTGATGCATTATTGATGTTAAGATAAATTTAACGTATGCATTTTGAAAATTTGATTGATTTATAGACTGCATTTCATAAGTAATGTAATTCTTTGATAAAATTAAAATCATCTATTTCATCTTTTGGTGTATTCTAATCTTTAGCTTAAAATGTTTCTTAGGATATGTGATTTAATTTGTTTCAAGTTTGTTATAGGTTTCTAGAACTTTTTTGATTTCTCTAGATTTTTCTTGCTAGCTTATAAGTATAACAGTTGTAAGATGGAAGTATAAATGAATATTTTTTAGGATTTAGCAGTGTTTTCACTGTTTTTATGTTCTAGCTTTGAGGAGTTTTGTTTGTAATGCTTCTTTGATGATCTCCCTACATCAATTTTCCATCAATTATTATCACAAGTTGTCGTTGCAGCCGCCCGTAGTTGTCGGTCACTCCCATCCACTGCTTGCTGCTACTAGTCATTCACCCATTGTCACCATCACCATCAACCACCAACCACCAATCTCCACCAATTGCCACTAACACAACCACCACTACTAATCGCCATCAGTTGCTCTCACCACCGCCCACATCACCAACATTTACAATGAATTCATTTTAATCCAAACTAAACAAAAAATATCATAAATTTATTTTACATTTACACTGCATTTTTTTTAAAGGATAGGAAACAACCCCTAAATATATATTAGTTGAATGAAGAATAATTAGTACCAAATTAAAGAATAATATCCTAAAAATATGCACAATTTACCATCTAAAGAGCTTCTGCACAAGCCACATGTTTTCAATTCTCAGGATAGAAGTCATAAATTCTGAGTTCAGCTTATAATTTTCTAAAACTAAATATTTATTAGCCACCTACATGAAATTGAATCTGTAACCATGCATCTTTAATGTCCCCTTATTTACAATTGGCCTCGTGTTTGCAAAAATTTCACAGCTAATCTTGATGAATTCCTGAAGAGCGTTAATGAAGCATTAAGTTTTCTACGTGGTAATCTGTTACAACAATCTCTACTAAGCATCAAATAAAATAGAAGTTCAGTAAGCTCGTTGCTTCCGTGAAGCCTACGAAGTGAATTTTAACCATTCAAACATTCAATCTTGTTGGTTTGTCCAGCTGCAAAAGGATGTTTCATCAAATAAAGATCAAACTTCTGATCTAATTAAGAGTTCATGCATCTGTAAAATGATTTCGGCTGATTGATAACAGCAGAAGTCTGAACAGTTAGGCTTCGTTTGGAGCGGTTTTCTTAATACTTTTTAAAACTGTTTTTTAGTACAAAGATTTCTAGTTAAAAATTTTTTTTATTAAAAAATTATTAAAAAAAAAAAACTATCTCAAATGAAGCCTTAAATGATACAAAATAACTTGATTATGTTGTCAATGCATATTCATTGAGGTAATATCATGAAAACAACTTGGATGAGGATATCCTAGGCTGAAGTTAAGTGAATACAAGATACTTCTTCGTTAATTAGAAGATATTTCTTTCAATCTTAAATTTCACAACACACCATGTTTCACAATAGAAGTATTTTTTTCTTGTAAAATAACTCAACATACTGCGGTTTAAGAACAATAGTTTTGTATTTTGATCTAGATTTAGGAGCTATTTGGTAGCAGGATTTAGGCCGGATTTGAGCACCAAACAACCTAAACTGCAAAACCAAATCTCCTAGCAAATGAAAGCTTCCGTAGACGGGAAATTCCACCTTTCGTGCTAAATCCCGGATTTTGAAATTATGTTTTTTGCCGGATTTATGAAATCCATTAGCTCGAGAGAAAGAGTCCGCTCGTTAAATCCGTTCTATAGCCAAACAGCCACAAAAGATTTAATAGGATTTATCATGAATGTTACCAAACAATTTTCAGGATTTAAGCCCCTCTTGATTTCCAAAATCCGGATTTAGCAGATTCACAAAATCCTACTTAAATCAAATCCTGGATGCTACCAAACAGCCCCTTAGATTTGAATATCTTGAGCCAATTGTTTTCAATGATTGCATGCACTTGAGAGTAGTATAACTAAATAAAATTATATCAGGAAAAAAAACTTAACGAAAAATTCCATAAAACAGGTCTGTAATTACGTGGATTCTGATAGCATTAGCCTAGACTACTAGTCAATAGATATACTACAACGCATAAATAATGAAGCTTGGAAGCTAAACATTTAACACTCAAAGATAGAGGAGTCAGTACCAGCAACTCATTTGTGCTACTTGATAGTCACAAACTTGTTAGTGCCATGCCTTGCCCAATGATTCTTCAAATCAACTCCATATGAGAGGTCCTGTCCTTCAGCCACAAGTCTTTGAAGTAGCTTTGTGTAAGCTCCAATGCTCATTTTCCTTCCAGCCATCCGCGAACCCGGCCTTGTCGGGCTCACTGGGAGGGGATATTCCGACAAGCCTGTGGTGCAACAAGATGACTGCCAACCACCAGCTCCCCACCTATAGCATTGCCGCGGCATGCCGGTGCAAGAACATATAGGTGCAGGGACACCTGAAAGATCAATCATAACACCATTGAACATATCATCTTGATTCTTTTTCTCTCGCTTTCCTGTTGACATAGAACCTCCTTTCTTCTTTGTGCCCTTTTCTGCTTTAGGTCTTAGAACCTTGGTAGCGACATTTTTTGCCTTGTTCTTTGAAGATTGTTGCTTTCTGGCATTAATGGGGTTAGCAGCAATGGGAGATTCCGGCACTGAACTATTAGATTGAATTGGCATGCTTGACATATTGAACGTTTCTGAAATCACAGGCATTGTCTGTAAGTGATTAATGGTTTTTGTGGGATGAAGAAAGCTTCTTTGTGGAACCCATGTGAAGCTTACAGAGGATGCTTCAGAACGGTGTTCATCCATCACAGTAGTGCGATCAGAGTATGCACCAATCTTCAGGAAACCAGGTTGATAAACTGAAGAATTGCTCTCTGGGAAGGAGACACCCAAACCGGGCTTGAACATGGATTCGGAATGCCGATTATCAGTGAAGTCCCAATTTCTTAGATTTAATTTGCTCTTTCCATCCATGAATAAGAGAGAACACTGACGCCTGGCTACAGTTTTCTTTTGAATTGAGGAACCAAAATCACATCAACAGAAATGATAGATATAAAAGTTATCACAGGAATTTCCCAAAAAAAAAGTTATCACAGGATTAAAAAGAAAGAAAATCATCAGAAAACATAAAAGTAAATTAAAAATGCATTTAAAAACTAAGCAATCAAGGAAAACGCATAACATTCATGTGAAGATTACAATTATAAAAATGAAAAATTTCAGGTAGCTGGAAACTTGTAGATGATGCAGGATTGACAGATGAGAAGTTGAAGCCTTAAAAGCACAGCAAATATACACACACACTCTGAGCATTTTTAAATGAGAAACATTGCCGATGGACTGAAAACTCAAAAAAATCAAATCAAAACGCAAGTTCCGAGAAACTGCAGCAGAAATATAAGAAAATTAGTGCAAAAATTAGCGAAAAAAAAAACTACAAAACTAGTATAAAATAATACAGAAAGAAAAAATATATATGTTAACAAAAAAAAACTATTTTCTTAATGATCAGAACATGCCCATCAAAGAAACGAGATTAAAAGTACATGGTAAGGGTGAACAATACACACCTAACAGGAGAAGATGGAAAGTTGATAACATAAATTAAATAAAGGAATCGACCGAAAATACAAATCAAAATAAAAATTCTCACAGTGGCTTAATAAATCCTAGTTTCAGAGCCCAGATTACGGAGATATAGAGAAGGTTGATCCAAATTACCAAATATATAAGCAAAAGAGCAATTTGACATTAAGGAGCAGAACTGCAGAAGGTCTAAAACTATTTAAGAACAGTGGCAAGCAGAATCTAGTGACGAGAGGAGAACTTACAAGATACGGCTAAAGAAATTTCTTCTTGTTCTTTCCAAACTCCTCAGCTACATCTCCTGTCGTTTTGTAAATATTTTGCTACATCTATATTTTTATTTTTCATTAAGATGTCCAGCTTTCTCCTTCCTCTGAGGCAGATGAGTTATACCCTTCAGGGAGACCAAGAAATAAGGCGGGCACTTCTTTTATTGGCGCTGCACCAATTCCATGGAGAATTGATGAAACCTTTATTGCTCTACAGGTGAGGGATGAAACCTTTATTGCCCCTTCGATTCTGAATAATTACAAGATAACTCATTTTTAGTGGCAGCATCTTTTGATACTCTTATGCATGGGCGGAACCATGTAGGCCTTAGGGGGGGCAATTGCATTTCATGGAAGAATTGTTATTTTTGTTAAATATTTAAATATATTTACATTTTAACATTGAATTACCCCTATCAATTAGCTATGATAATATTTTCGATGGCTTCATTTCCGGCTAAATAATAAAAAATTTTAAATTAAAATTTTATTGGCGATGACGGATATTGATGCTGATGTTGACGACTTATGTCTGCTTATATGATGATTGTAAGCATTTGTGGTTTAAGTCATCTGTTGACATCATCTTTATTGACAATAATGGACGTCAGTATTGATATCAATAGTAGACGTCCATCCGTGCATATATATACACACAAACATATACATTGTGATTTATGTCATGGGCTGATAATAATTTTATTGACAATAATAAATATTAGTGATGATAAGCAAATACATATAAGTGTATAAATATATGTATTGGTAATATCATTTCTTAGTTATTGATGTAATGTGTGGCATGGGGAGTCATAGTCATTCTGGGGGTAAATTATTGCATCCGGTCACTTGACGAAGAGATGCGTTCGGAGCTCTCTCCGTCTACAGTGAAAGCGCAGGTACTGTAGCATACTTGCGCTTCACTGTAGACGGAGAGAGCTCCGAACGCATCTCTCCGTCAGGTGACCAGATGCAATAATTTGCCCATTCTTGGAGCTTCCAAGGATTAAACTTTCTGCAATTTAAAATCAATCAAATTAAAAACAATCTTTGGACTTATTTTAAACTAGAAAATTATTGCAGGACCACTAACTTAGACAATATTTTTAATCTCAATCAAACTTTGTATATTTTATTATTCTCCTGTCTAAGATGTATTGTCATTTGGCTAAGTAATTTGGACATGAAAATTTTGCATGTTGATTAAAAGCCTGGCTATGATATTCTCGAAATCATAACCTTGATACAAAGTTTGAATCACAAAAAAGTTAGCCATGACTTTATTCAAATAATAAAGGAGTACTTAACCATTCGAGATATTATTATTTATTTATTTATTTATTAATCCTTCGAGATATAATAAATCATAGAAACTTCCTTCCCAATACTTTATATAAATATATATATGAAAGAATATCAAAATATAATTGAAAATTCTTCATGATTACATTTAACATTATATGTTTGTAATGTTTAATATAGTTAATAACTATTTTATATTAAAATACTTTACAACATTATGTAATTAACTAGCTAAGGAGTAGAAGAAACATAACATTTTTATAATTTTTATGATATAAATTGTATGTTAATAAGATACGTTGCATGAAGGAATATTTGTGATAGAAGGGAGCTTATCATTTTAGTATTTTACTAAAAACTTACACATAGATGTATCATGTATGATAAGTCGAAAGTTGTATATGTGTGTGTGAAATATCTTTAAAAAAAAAAAAACTATAAGTAATTATGTTGAGATGATTCAACTAGTATGAGGCATTCAAAAGATGCCTTTCTACATAATTAGAAAATGCATTAATAGAAACTTTGAGGCATTGAAGTTATAATCATCAAGAGATCATAAGTAATTTGTTTGATTGTTCCCTTTATAGAATGAGAGACCAACAGCTAAGAAGTTGGGCATTATTGTTGATAGGGGGAACATGCATTGATGTTAATATAAACATCGAAAAATCAATTTTGATAGAATGAAGGGTATTGACATTGATGATGATGGTGAGCACATATAAAATATCTCTCTTGTTGGCGACAACAGAAGTTGACATTTGTATCATTGATGAGAGTCTGACTTGTTGGCCGCAACAAGAGTTGACAATGTTGTTGACATGGTCTTTAACCTTTCTTATGGTGATTGGTGTTGGCCTTGATGATAATAGCATGCATTTGCCTCTTTGGCGATGCCCAATGCACTCTTTGGCGATTGTGGGCATTGACATTAATGTCAACGATAGGTTTCCGCCTCATTGACATACTAGAAGTCAACATTAACATTGACTGAGAGTGTCAATCTTATTGGTGATGACAAATAAAGACGAATGTCGACTTTGTTGTCAATGATGGACGTTGAGTATTAGAAGACAAAGTTCTAGTTTCCCTCCTTTGAAAATCTTATTGTTTTCTCAATATAACATCCTTCACTTGCATCAAAGAAGGATCTATTTATAAATATTTGGAGAAGAAAAATCTTGTCATTTTGACTATAAATTAAAACAATCCAATGAACGGTCTTTGTTAATGGCTCTTACTTATTATTTTTTTAGATATTTTGGTGTCTTAATGCTATTGAAATAGAATGATCTTAGGCTCATTGGATTCATCTAAAAAAAAAGTTTTTTTTTTTACTATAATCATGTAAAAATAAAAACTGTTTTTTACTTCAAATCATTTTTTAAAGCTAACAAAATTTTTATGAATTGTTGGATTCCTCTCACCAAGAAGTTAGTTATAACTAAGGTTTTGTTTGAGATAATTTTTTAATTGATTTGCTTTTTAGTTCACAACTATATTTTATGTATCACCACTTTTCTTCATTATTTTCAAGAAAATTTTGTCCTAGAAAGCTGCTTTCTACAGAGCTTTCAAAAAAGTTATTTTCTCCACAAAAGCTTTACAACAACTTTTTATAAAAATCAACATTCGTCCAAATCGATTCTTAAGTTTGTTGAAAATTAGGATCCGTTTGGGACGGTTATAACTTTTTATAAAGATAATTATAAAACTATTATGAAAAAAAATAATTTTTTTAAAACTTATTATAGAAACAACTTTCTTGCACAAAAATTATTGAAAACAATTTTCAAATAAAAATCATAGCTAAATTCTAAATAGTAAAATAATAATAAAAATGTCCCAATTAGTTTGTTCAGCAAAGAAGTCATTTTTTGTAACATTTCGTTTAAATATTTAAGTTTTTTAAATTAGAAAATTATGTTAATATTTGTTTCATCGGATGAACAATTTATGAAATATTGCAAAAATTAATAAAAAAATAGATATTTCTATTTTATTATTATTTTTTTGGGGGTAAAATTCTGTTTTATTTTTAAACAAATTAAATAAAAAACCGTCAGTGTGAGATGCAATTGAAGAGGAAAAAACAAAAAAAGAATTGGCAGAAGGGTATTCTAGTAATTTCAAAATCCCCTGATTTCTATTTGGTGTGGCTTTTATTGCAGCACGGAAACCCAAAGATCAATTTATTGATGTGATGTTTGAAGCTTTTCTAAGGTGGTACGGTACACTCGTTGGAGAATTTTTATTGGGTGCCGAGTGCGGACGTAGTTCTGTATGTGCAAACAAGTAGTATCGCGCCACGTGGAGCCCATCTTGACCCCACCGTATTGAGGAGAGCGTGTGCTCTGTTTACCTGATAACCCGATAACACGAACCATTTGATCTACTTCAAAAAATGCGCGGTGCCCATATCTTCGAGAACATCTGAAACGTCGCTTCCTTCTTTCTTTTTCGGGCGATTTGCTAGATTACAGTCCATCTTCCACAAGGAGAAGTTGCAGGTTGTATTTTTCGAACGAAGCTAGTTCATCTTCTACTCTAGGCCTGCTGAGCTTCATCGCGGCAATGGGAAAGGTTTGATTTTCTTAAGATATTTTGGCCCTTTCGAAGTGGAGGAGAAAATCGGGGAGGTGGCATACAGATTGAGGCTTCCTCCAACAGCCAGAATACACCCCATTTTTCATGTATCACAGTTGAGGAAAGTGGTTGGGGAGCATGCAGCAAGCCCAGAGCTGCCCAGCACATTGAGGTAAGACATGGAAGTGACACTGGAGCCTCTAGCGGTAGAAGGAGTGCGCATCAATGAAAAGGGGGAAAAGGAAGTGAAGATTAGGTGGAGCGGCCTCCCGGATTATGAGGCCACATGGGAGCCATTGGAGAGGATTGTAGTGCAGTTTCCTGCCTTCCACCTTGAGGACAAGGTGGCACTTTGGGAGGGGGGTAATGTTATGCCGGTCCACCTTGGACCGGCTCAACCTGAACCGGCCCAGCCGATCCAGGTCTACTGCAGGCGGACACAGAGCTGGGCGGAAGAGAGAGGGGGTCAAGGAGTGGGGTCCACTTGCAATTCAAACTTGGGTTAAGTGCTTTTGGATGGAGGAGGAAGGGTAGAGAAGTCATTTTGCTTTTATTTTGATTAGATTATATTAATAGGGAGTTAAGGGGAGATTAGGGTTTCATCTGGATTTTGAAAAGAGTTTTGTGTTCTAGGTTTTCTTGCTTGGGCTCTTGGCGTTGCCGGAGATTGTTGGAGAGTTGTTCTTCCTCTCGAATTGAAGAACATTGTATCTTGCTTTGGTTTTGATCATCTACTAAGGGAATACAATTGTTTGCTATTGTTTTTCCAAAGTTTTCTCTCTTTTCTCTCAGCTTTTCCATTATTGGTGGCTGTTTTCTATTGAAAACAGTGAAATATTGGTGAATTAGCGAAGATCCGATAGAAATCGCTTGGAATATTCAAGTGGCACCTATCATAACACCAAGGGACACTGCTCTTAATAAAAATGAGAAAGAAAACTGCTCAGTTTTCCTCGAAGCATTGTGGCGCTCAAACCTATAGCGTTGCGGTATTGAATCATGAGCGATGCTATGCTATGCTCTTTGTCATTTCTCTTAGCAAACTTTATAATTCCGGGGTGCTCAAGAACACAGCGTCAGCATGTTGTACAGAAAAAAAATCCTGGTGCAGAACACTCAAACCCAAGCAAAGGGATGACCCACCCAGCGAGCACAAGAAATTGACTTGAGATTCGACGCAACAATACAATTTTATTGATTAACACAATCAAATTCCATAAAGACTATCACCAATGCCAACAACTCACCACCATTGCCACCTACTGCTACTGCTGGCCATCGACGACAATCATCCTTGCAACTTAAAACTACATTCAATTTAGTAAAGCCAAAAAAAAAAATCTTTATTTATTTTACACTCATCAAAATAATTCAAAATACTTCAAATACATTATATATTTTTCACCCTACCATTTCATTCTTTTTTCCGAAGAACCTAACCGCCATTTAATTTGAAATTATGCCTAGCCTTTGTATAATACAACTCATGAATTTCATTTCTACCATCCACACATGCATACATCACATTTTGTTACATCATATTTCTTTTTTCTCAATTATTCAAGAACTTGATTCTAGATATGGTATAACAATTATAAGCCTTTAAAAAAACAAGAATCTCCTTGTTCAAATTAAAAAAAAAAACCCATCTTATTATTTTTCTTAATAATTATTATTTTTATATATTTTAATTTTAAATTTTTTTTTTTCAATCCTATCCTACATCATCTTATATTCATTTCATTTGCTTTCATTCATAGAAGGGAAATTTAGGATCTGACATTAAATAAATGATTGTATCAATGAATTTTCATGTCTCCAAAAGCTTATTTGAACATTCATGGAGAGGCATCTCCCTTTCATTTTACTGATGGGATGCATTTAGCATAAACTTTCAACATTAAGCCCTCTCAAAATTCTGGTAGCAGACTCTCTTTCCTTCAGAAGAAGAAGCTTGATATATTCTAGCCCACAATAAGAAGCAAGCTTTGCCTGACAGCCGGTATGGAGCAAAGTAGAGAGCCAAATATTCCAGTGAGTGCATAAGCAATAGCGCAGAATGGAAGAGCTTCTGGCTCCTTTGCTGATAAAGCTGCTGTACCCAATCCATGAGCACTGATACAGACCATGCAGATTAACATAACTAAACAATTCAAATCACTAAGGGTTCATTCGTTTAAAAAAAAAAAAAACTGGAATCATCTTACCAAACAAATAATTAATTTTTCAGAGTTTTCTTGTTGCATACAAGAACTATTAGAATAAAACTTTGCAAATATAATTAAATTCTATATGTTTATTTACATATATTTTAAAGTGTGTTGTCCTTTGAAATCAATGCATTTCATTTTTTTTCTATATTTTTATCAATGCATCTTTGACTTTTATTTGAAACTTTATTTTAAAGAATCTCGAGTAAATTTTAACTGAAATTGTATTAAAATGATTGAATTTGAAACTCACTTAAAGTAGCTGAAATGGAAATATTTTAAAGAATATCGTGTAAATTTTAGCACTCGACCCAAACAGTCTACTTCGTTTTCCCCTTTGTGTCTCTCCCATGACTCGCGACTCGCACAACTTTCATTTTCCCTTTCGCTCCTCTCACCCCCAAACGGAGACCGCCCACGACAAATATTTGTCTTATAAGCTCTAAAGGTCATGTTAATTACATTCTAAATTTTGATCTTACAACTCCTCTTGGATCCGATAATGAGCTGTAAATAGAACTATTTTAATTTATGCCCCTCCTAAATAAAATTTATGACTCTGCCATTGCATGTATTTGAAGTATAAGAGCTCGTTTGGTTGCTTCTAATTGTGTGTGAAAAAGGAAATCTCTTTAAATACTACCATCTAATTAAGTTTGGCAGATGGGATGAATCTAGCAAACTTCATAAAAAAGGTACTTTATATTTAAATATTGGAGATGAGAAGAAGATCGTACCTGGAAGCTGTTGCTATTCCTCTAGCAATCGGGTCGTTAAAACCAAGCTTATCCATCACAGCCTGAACAAAATTAGCTCCAACCAGACCAGTGAGCACAACAACAGCAGCGGTAAGAGATGTGTTTGCACCTAAACAAAACAGAAAAAATGAAAATGATATTCCATTTTAAGCGAGGAAAGCAACACAATCAAATTTAAAAGTTGAGATAAAAGTAGTAATTCCATGAGTATAGTACTTTACCTTCAAAGAAAGAAACAATACTTAAGGCTAAAGCCACTGTTATGCATCTTGGCAAGATTGACACAGTTAATATTGGCTCTAGCCCAATAAGGCGCCCTATGGCTGCAGTTGAGTACAAAGAGAAGATTGTTGCGACGATCACTGATGAGAAAATCTCTGCTGCGTGCCGCTTAACAAGCTATAGATGAGAAAAAAGAAGTCATGTAGCGATATTTATGGATGTCTGATGCAACAAAAAAAAAAACAACTAAAATAAAAGACAACTTCAAATACAAAAATATAACACTACTGTCAACTTGTAAACAACACAACCAACTTACTATTAATAAAGTTTAAAGAAGAAATATACAAATGGAATGGAAACCATGGATAGAAGAAATAGATAAATGATGTGAAACAACATGCGGTGAATCACGAATTGCACTTAAGAAATTAATAGAAGCAATGACCTTTAGCTTGCTACCAAAACTCTTTGTTTGCTCAAGTTGAGTTTATGAATAAGACATAGATGGATTAAGCAATGACAATAAATTACATGTAGAGAGTTGAGGAGCCTCACAAAATAACACCAAAATTTAAATAATGCAAATAGCTAGCAATAATCAAAAGCCTCAAATTTAATATCTAGATCATTCACCTTGAAGTCCTTCGCTCATTTTGAAAGTGGTGGCTAGCGGAGGAAAATTGTAAGTAGGCTTAGCGATGCCACTAATAGACAAGTGATCTTGAAAGGACTCGTCGCCGGGAAGGAAGCCGGAATTGGAGAGGCCGGTGGGCGTCCGCGGATGGTCCAATCGTAGTCTGCAAATTTCTCGTCTACGACATCCACAAGCGTAGGGGGGATGCGAGTCAAATAGTCGTCGACGGTGTTGTCGGGTCCAAACCCAACGTCGAAGAATGGCGAGCGTGTTATATGAATACTTCCGTAGACGTCGAGTACCAAACCACTATCCACTTCAGGATCCGCCATGCATCTTACCCGGGGAGATGAATGCAAAGGAGGGGAGATGAATGCTAAGGAGTTGTGAAGGGAAAGGGCAGGGGCGGCGGGTGTAAGGGGAAGTGAATTCGCCTTCAGTGTTTGTGGTAGCAAATAGAAAGAGACTCCAAAGATAAAAACTGAAAATTTCTACAGTAATTTTAGTTTTAGTAAAGGTGGGAGGGAATTAATTTGAGGGAATTAAGTAACGTGGGCCAATGTAATTGAATGACTGATTTGAATAAAATCTGTAGTAAAACCGATTAAAGGCCTAGGAAGGAAACCTACCTTTAACGGATAGGAGAAAACTAGCAGTTGTTTGAATTTCAAACTTGCTTTGAAATCAATTAAATAACAATTGCTTAAATTCTGGAGTCATTTAAGGAAGGCAATTATAGCTCATAAGAACAATTGAAATTCAAAATAATATTTCCAGAGAGGGGCGGGATGGTGCTGTGGCCGGCGGGATGGGGTTATGGGGCTGGCCGGCAGGAGTTAGTCGGCGGGAGGCAGGCGGCTGAAGCGATGGATTCGGCGCCGAGCTACGGGATTCCAGCGAGATTTCGGGGAAGCGACGCGAATGATGCTGAATCGACGGGATTTTGGCATGATTTTAGGGATCCAACGGGTTAGAGGTATGTACAAGGGATTTTCATTTTGCTTTCTTCTTCCTTTGGGTATAGCATGAGGGTCAACAGATGAATTTTAAGAGGAGAAGGGGAAATGATACTATCTCGCAAGCTAAAAACAAGCAGGTTCTTACATACCAAACATTTTCACAAAAAACTCTCCCTTTTTATAATAAAAAGAAGGGAAAAGAGCATTGATTACATATAGTTAATGCACCTTACAACTAGCCAATACGAACTCCTTAAAACCCACAGCCAACAGGGACTGAGAGGGCCACAGCCAGGGGAAAAATCAAAGAAAAATCAGCAACCAATGTGGGGGAAAACCGAAGCATAAATAACAACTAAGATGGGAAAATCTAAACATCAACACGGCAACCAAAGGAATAGCTTTTGGGAATTAAAAATCAGCATGGGAAACACCAATAGAAATGTTTTGCCTACATCAATGTCCAACAGGAAAAAGGATAATAAGGTTTGGAAAATCATTGTAAAGCATGACACTGCATGGACTGCAAATATACCACATTCCAGGATGAAATAATCTAACTGATATGCATACCATGATCATAGAGACAAATTAAAGTTACCTTTCTTTGTTTGAACATCGAAAAGGCAAATGTAATAATGACAGATCCAAGAAAACCCATAAGAATATCACCAGCTCCAGGATTAGATGACACCTTAGTTAGATAGTTACCTGGATGGTAAGCATTATATCAAACAGTTAATTATTGAGCTATTGTTTGGGAGGCAGATAAAGCAGCGTTGCTAGAGAAACATCTCAGGGAACAGTACTCTACATAAGATACTTATTGAAGCATCAATGCTTGAATCGAGATCTCATGAAAAATTATCAGCCTATAGCTTGACAGCCATAAAATCTATTTTGTTTAAAATAAGTCAATAGGAACAAGCATAAAAAATGAAAGGCTGGATACTTAAGCTTCGTTTGTAACAGCTTCTTTATTGCTTCTTAAAATAATTTTTTAGTTCAAAAATTTTAATTATTATACTAAAAAGCTACTTTAAGAAGCAGTTAGAAAGTCGCCCCAAACGAAGCCTTAGTTAGTTGCATGTAATGTTTTAAGCATGCTTTAAGGCTACCTGCGATATAAGCAGGTGCGTTGAAAGGGATCACTGCTACAGTAGAGGATGATTGGCTGTGTGACTAACCTTGAATTGATTAAAATAGATAACCATATAGACACTCATCAAGCAAGGATAGGCTTAAAACAAGCCTCCTAAATGCAAAAGATATCAGCCTAAAGGCCAAAACACGAGTTAGGCTCTAGTTCTGAAACTCCTGATACACAGGATAAGAAAATTGTTCAAAGTTCAAAAAAAATGGAATAATTGGAATATTTTGTAACTCAAAGGCTGGCCTAGTCAGGCCTTTCACACGTGTACTTCCAACTAGATTATCTACGAAACTTTGATTTCATTGATTGCTACTTCAGAAGAAAACTGAATACTTAAACAATACTATGTTATTTAACTAGTTACATAGCGGATCTATTCATCTATCTATAAATCTATCAATCTGCATTATATAAACTTGAGGGTGGTGAACATTTGGTCTTCCCAAAATTACCCTTTTATCGTGACTATTTATCAATTTCATTATATTTTTAATATTTTCTAAATGATTAAGTATAATACACCTTTTGTTGGGGAAAAGTGCACGTCCAAGTATAATGACACTTGTGAGAATGAAAAAAAAAACAACCTCGAAGGAGACAAGAGAAAGAATACAAAAGAGTTTACATGGTTTAATGATATTCACCAACATTCACAACCACACAAAGAGATAAATGTGTACTAGTTTAAAGATAAAAATATTGTACAAACACTTTTTTTACTTTTAACCAACTAGTATACTCCCCCCAGCATGATTGCTCAACTTGGCTATGCTCATTAGATATAGAGAAAAGGCCATCGTCTGCTATGTAATGCCACCTCGTTGATCACTCTTGTGCTTGATCTCCAAAATTAAAAAGGGAAAAACAATATTCACACAAGAACACAATAGTTGAATATGGTTTGACAATTTTCTTACATCCATGGAGATAGCAAATTCACTATAAACTTTGGGGAAAAACACTCATAATTTCTCCCAGAATCCTTACACATACAAAAGCTATTACAAGCTTGAGTGGTTACTTATGGATTATCTACCAGTGATGATGATATGAATTTGATCTCCACACAGCAAAAACAACAATAACTAAGAGAAAAAAGCTGCAAAAATCAGCAAGAAAGAAAGAGATTACATGCTAATTTTATTGATATAGGCACACCAAACTAAGATTCAAGTTGATTTACTATTCAAGAGGAAGATCGGCTCTCCACAAACTCTAGGCGCCATTAGACAACTCTAAAGAAAAAAACTACAGCAAACACACAAATCACATAATGAAAATAAAACAACCTAATTAACCCTAATATAAATCTTCCTACTTCCCTCCTAAATCTGAATTCAAATCAGTCATCTTTTCCTAAATAAACCTTTTATAATTTTCTCTCAAATCTGAATTCAAATAAACTCTCTTTCCCTAAATAAAGCTTTCATAATACATCCCTAGTATGAATTCAAATTAGTCCTCTATCCCTAAATAAATCTTTCCTAATTCCTCTCAAATCAGCCATCTTTTCATCAATAAACTTTCCTAATTTATTTCCAATTTTAGATTTCTACGGTAGATAATTAAAGTGGAATTAATCCCCTTCGCTCTTCTTGCTCGCCGCCCACCCTAGTGGGGCACAAAAGCTCAACCGGTCCTCCAACGCATTAACCTTCTTGACCACCATATGTCCCAAAAAGATGCTCTGATACCAATTTGATAGGAATCTGATCTCCACACAGCAAAAACAACAATAATGACGAGCAAACGATGCATAAATCAATGAGAAAGATTTTTATATTTAGGGTTTAGGACAAACCAATATACAAGTTGATCTACTATTTGAGAGTAGATCGACTCTCCACAAATCCTAGGCCCCGCTAAGTGCAACTCCAAAGAAAACTATAGCAAAACACAATCCCATAAAACAACCCAATCAGCCTATATAGAACCATGATTTCACTCAAAACCATGGTCAAGGCAATACAAGGAGCAGGGTTGGGTTGCTTGGCAAAGCTACAGAGCCCGTAGGAGGTAAAAGATGAGAGTTAGTCAAGGTCTCTGAGTGTACATCAACTTCTATAGTAGTTTCCTGTGATTTTTCAGCAGCCTAGCGTTATCGCTACCCAGGGAGCACGAGTATGCCATTACCTTGAAAGAGCGAGTTTATCCTATCAATGTTCAACTATATTGGTACTCGCAGATTCAGAAGAATGATATAGAGAGAGGCTCATCAAAGAGATGCTTGAGGCAGGAATTATCAGGCCCATTTTGAGCCCCCTTTTCGAGCCCAGTTTTACTAGTGAGAAAGATGGATGACAGTTGGAGGTTTTGTGTGGATTATAGGGCCCTAAACAAGGAAATTATGCCGGGCAAGTTGTCCATCCCTGTGATTGATAAGCTACTTGATGCACTGTTTGGGGCGCATCTTCTTGAAGATTGACTTAAAGTTGGGGTACCATCACATCAGAATGAAGTTGGGGGATGTGCATAAGATAACCTTCATGACTCATGGGGGTTACTATGAGTTTTTGGTGAAACCTTTCGGCCTTACCACCGCTTCAGTCACTTTTTAGTCCCTAATGAACCGGGTTTTTCAACCCTACCTTAGGAAATTCATCTTAGTATTTTTTTGATAACATCATGATCTACAGTAGTATAGATGTAGAGCATGTGGGTCACTTGAGGACTATACTGGAGACTTTGAGGGAGCACCAGCTATATGCAAATTTGAAGAAATGTTCATTTGCAAAGTCATAGGTGGAGCACCTAGGATATGTGATGAGCATAGCAGGGGTAACAACAGATCAATCCAAGCTTGAGGCTATGTTGGATTGGACTTTACCGAAGAACCTGAAGAAGTTAAGAGGGTTCTTAGGTTTCATCGGGTACTACCGAAAGTTTGTGCAAGGATATAACATGATAGCATGACCACTGACGGAGCAGCTGAGAAGAACAATTTCAATTGGGGGAAATAGCAACACAAACATTCGAGAAGCTAAAGAAAGCCATGATCAACGTGCCAGCATTAACACTTCCTGACTTCAGTAGACCATTTATGGTGGAGACGAATGTATCAGGATACGGATTAGGGCCAATACTCATACAGGATCATCAGCTAATTGTCTATTTCAGACAGGTGCTCATGACCAGGGTGAGGCTCAAGTCCGAATACGAGCGAGAGTTGATGGCAATTGTCTTAACCATTAAAAAGTGGCTACCTCATTTGTTGGGGCGACACTTTATTATCAGGATAGACCAGATGAGTATGAAGTTTCGGCTGGAGTAGAGGATGTTGACTGAAGAGCATCATAGGTGATTATCCAAGTTACTTGGATATGATTTTTAGATCTAGTATCACCCAAGACAAGAGAAAAAAGATGCGGATGCACTTTCGAGAAAGGCAGATGAAGCTGCATGGGAGCCATATGAGATAATCAAGAGACAAATCTCAACATTTCACTTTGACGACAAAGTGCGTTTTTTGGGGGGGTATTGATACTCCCTTGGCAGGCCCAAGGGATCTATTATTCATTATGGAAGGAGGAGGAATTAAGGGGAAACTAATTATGAAAGGTTTATTTAGGGAAATAGGGCTAATTGGATAGGGAGGGAATTAAGAGAGATTTATTTAGGGAAAAATGACTGATTTAATTAGGAGGGAGTTAGAAAATATTTATTTAGGGAAAGATGACTGATTTGATTGAGAGGGAATTAGAAAATGTTTATTTATGGAAAGTTTGCTGATTTGAATTCAAATTTAGGAGGGAAGTAGGAATGTTTATATTAAAGTTAATTAAGTGATTTTATTTTCATAATGTGATTGTGTTTATTGTATTTTTTCTTTGAAGTTGTTTCTAGTGAAGCCTAGAGTTTGTGGGAGAGCCGATCTAACTCAATTAAAAGATAATGTATTGTTAAACAAAGGTATTTGATTCAATTCAATCATAACTTTGATATTTGATGCTAAACAAAGGATAAAGTATTGCTATTTCTTAGTTGTTGAATCTAAATGTCTGTGGGTGACACTCAATGTAATTAGCAGGCAATTAAGAAGGTTGGACTCGAGAACCGATAATAAGTATGGAAAGAAGAAGATTTTTAAGGAGAAGTGTTGTGTTTGCCCAATAGTATCTTATAAAGTGCCAAAAAATTCAAAACGTGACACTTTAAACTTTATTTATAAAGATATGGGAGCTATAAAGAAGGTTACATAAAAAAGATGAAAAGTACAAAAGTAAATAACTCCAGTATGAACTATCACTGACACGTGTCATGCTCTGATTGACATTGAGAATAGCCTCAACTCTCCGGTTCAACTCCTCAACCCTAAGTGTGTCCCCTTATGTCCAGTACTAACGGGACAGTGGCAAAGACGAGTTTGCTGATGGGGTTGGTTTGAAAGGGCTGTTGTTGATGAATTTGTTGATGGCGGTGTGAACTCTTAGATGGAGTCCATTGACTGCTTCAATTTTGGGGGGCAAGTTTGCTTAAGTTGCGAGGGTAGTGAACTCCATGGCTTGCTGAGTATAAGGAGACGAGCTTGTGCCTTTTTTTAGATGATCCTTCCCCGCAACTAAGCGGATTGGGTCCTTTAATGACTCAACGCCTAGGATGATGACAAGTTGTCTTAGAAGTGTACTTCTTGTAGGAGGGGTGAGTCCTCCCAAATCGCGAGATCCCATGTGATCTTAGGGTGCTTGTCCGAAAAATAATCCCCATCAGATAACTTTGCTGAGTTGGGTTTAGTGACTCCTAAATGAGTCTTCGTTGCCAAGGTCAACGTGGTGCGAGTTCATCCCTTGTGACCTATTGGCTACCTGTTAAACACCTGAGAAGTCATATGCTAGTCTACAATTGTAATCCTTTTTAATTGTACTCACAATATTTTTTCCTAAGTTGAGCTGAGATGTACATAACTTAAAGTTCAATGTATTTTGTTCACATATTATACTCTTTTGTTCCTGTATTGTACTTTTTTGTTCACGTAAAAAATCCCCTTCATAATTTTTTATGCAAATGCATGGCCTTAATAATCATCTAGCTCAACCATCTCAAGCACTGCACAGGGTTTGCGTGCTAGTTTGAATTAAAATCTAGATAAGCATTCAGTATAGAGATAACAAACCATTCACAAACTTTAATCCACATATTATCAAAAAAATCACATAAAAGTCAGCTATAAACCTAGAACAGCATCCAATCCAGACCGGGAGAAATACCCATATGCTATTGCAGCCAAATCTGCAGAAAATGCACAGCAGACAATTGGATGGAAGATCTTTTTGACAAATGCTGGAAACCTGAATGCAGAAATAAAATGATTATGGTGATTAATTTGAATTTTACACACAATAACTATGTCCATTCGTTAATTTATTTTTGCAATCTGACAAGTAGGGGAATAATGGTACCGGGAGCCAACCATGTAACCCAATACTGTTGCAGCAAGCAGGAAAGGAAGGAAAGTTCTTGCACTTGTTCCCAGAGCTGTTGGATTAATTAATGCAAGAACAAACGAGGCAATGAAGACAGCAGACCAGACCAAAATTTCAAGTGTTGAAAAAGGAGCAGGTTTTGTCATTGGCTCAGCAGGAATCATTTCTGTCTTCACAATTTTTCTTATTGTTATGGCAGTGTATCCAGCAACACAGAGAGATGCTGCCCAACCTGTCACTGGAGAAGGACAGAGAACAGGGTCAACCAAGGACAAAAAATGGAAAAGCAAAAAATAAAAAGCGGCCTGTTACAGGCATAACGATGTTTTTTGTGCCATAAATGATAAAAGAAAGTATGAAATGGATGGCTGGAATACTATAATTGCTCGGTGAAATTCCCAACGTAATTGGAGAGAACCCTTCATCCAGTATGTAAATGGGAAAATAGTGAACGCATAACTAGAGTAATTGCCCGATAAGCTCATCACTGACGATCCAACTCATATGAACGCATGAAGCACTAACTGCGGCAACTAAGATGTTTCCAAGAAGTCAGAGTTTTACCAATTTGACAAAGTAAACAACACTTTTGAAGTTCAAATGTTAACTGAAATACCAATATAAGCGTTCAACACATGCAAAAAAAAAAATCTGATTTGTAGTTGCAGCCTCATGGAGTAAGTTAAGAATCATTTCTCTCACAAGAAAATATAGCAACTCTCATGTTTCCAAATAAATGCACGAATAAGTTAACTATCATTCAAGTTCAAAAACTTCAAGCGATTCCCTTTAAGTATCGGTAACACCAGTTTAATATTCTATTCAATGACTTAAAGAATTAACCAATGACAATATTTTCCTGTTCTACTGTGGATTGAGCAAAATTGAAACTGATTAATTCTAGATTCTGCTCTTAATTCTGCAATTATAGAATTTAGTTTGTGATAACTTAGGATTAAGCATGGGTTAGGTTTTCTGACCGATGGAGAATTTAGTTTGAGATAACTTTAATGGTTATTTAGTTATGTCTTCTTTGATGTAATATTCTGTTTTTTATAATAGCAGTGCTATGCAAATTACACGAAACAAATACCTAATACTAACCAGTAACCACCCTCCCCCTAAATTAGGATTAGCTCAATCCCAATTTGAGAATTTTAAGTACTAAATGTTGCTCAATAGAGTTAATGAAGGCCAAAACTTTGATCAGGATGTCCTGTGTCTTATTAAGCTCAGGATGCAACATGCTTGATGATTTTCTACTTAAATTGCAAAACATATTCTTCAATGTTATCAGATAACGAACAAGACATTATAAATGGTTCTATTTGCAAGAAAAAAAAAAGTCTTGCAAAATATAAAGGTTTGTCTTGAAACTCAGATGAGTGTGTTATTTTCTGAGCTAAATTTGGCCAAGGAAATCCCGAGCAAAAATTTCTTCCTTGATTTTCAAATCACAAACAAAAATATACAAATTGAATGAGCCTTTTACTCGTACTTTTTTTTCTCGATAAAACCAGACTAGTCATAGGCCAAGTTCGCAAATCTTAAATTGCTCCCACTAGCTTCCTTCCAAATTCCATCACGTGACAATCTAACTAATCTTGTTTGAGTTATCATCCATATATGAATTCAGTTACCATAATACTTGCATTGAAACCACATACCTAAAATGAAGCAAATCTTGACACCTGAAGCAGCAGGGACGTCTCTCACCGCAATCGGTAGGACAACAAGCGACGGTACATAGAACAATGGTAGCCACCTCTGTATAAAAAGAGTTGCTGGCTCAAAGAAGTTCATCACATACATGGCGGCAGTAGGAGCAAAAGAATCCAACACAATAAGAACCGAAAACACGCAAAACATCCCGAAAAGCGCGCTCGGGAACTTGATCGCCGCCGCTGTAAATGCTTGCTTCAAAAACTTATCGGCTGCAACAATTACGCCAAGAGAAACCGCCAGGTGAAGAATTTGGCCAACCTGAAAAACAAAGAACCAAGTTCAGTAAAGCATTTCATCAAACAAAAGAAGAGCACGCTAACGGTCGATTTGTACTGACATTCGGAAAACTGAAAGCAGTTGTTGCAGAATCGGAACTAGATGATCTTATCAGAACTTGGCGTTGGGGTCTCGTCTCGAACCCAGAGGAGATGATGGGCGAAATAAGCGAGGTCGAGCACGAGGAGGAATAGTAGGAGATGGGCTTCTTAGGAGGTGGAACCCATGGTCTTAAGCGAACAAGCGCTCGGCCTTTGAGGCCGAGTATAGCGAGACTGTTAGGCGGGTAGGGTAAGACTACAGAAGCGGAAGCCATGGAAGCGTCCCCAGAAGGGAAGACTGGCGTTCGCCACTCGAGGTTCTGTCGATATTTCAGCACCATTGCCGTGTGGAGAAACAGTGGATTAGAATACAGAAGGAATGGATGATGTCGAGTTAGCGTGGAAGGAGACAAAGGAGTCCACTCTCAGTCCATTTCCTTTTGATTAATAAAATTCGTTATTTTCAGTGGATGGAATTGGACCGGTCCGGGAATTATAGGCCCATTTCAAGAATTCGAATTAACCGTTTTTCTACGTATATTTTAAATTTATTGGTATAAATACATGTGCACATGATGCACTTGAACAAATGGTAAAAAATAAAAAATATATATAACAAAATTTAGAAATAATATATGATATGTTATATCAAAGATATTAAATTGTATATCAATATAAAAAAATTTAACAAAAATACGCAAAGATTTTAAGTGAAATTTTGGCAAAAGAATTTAAAATATATATATTCTTTTAATTTATCATTCTTTTAACTTTTAAATTATTATATTTGCTTGAATCAAATCTTTTTTTCTCTTTCATAATAAATGGGCAACTCAAATAAACTCGAGCTTGATTAATTAATCAAGTTAAATCTCAAGCCAGAGATTACTCAAGCTAGACTCAGATTCATTTAAACCACTACTCTATAACTGATATCCCAAAAATTCTTAAGCAATGCTAAAATATAGATAAAGAAAAGGCGAATTTTGTGTGCTTGAAGCAAAAGATTGGATGATATTTTCATTTTTTTTTCCTTAAAAGATTGGATGATATTTTCATTTTTTTTTCTTAGCCCCTTCTAGTAATTCAAAATATAAAATGTTCATGAGATTACATTTGAAATATTATAAAGGACAAATTATTTTACTTTAGTGTAATTATATGTACATACTGTTAAGCCGAACTCACTCTCCACCATCATCTGCAACAGCAACTGAAAGCTGCCAACCTCTACTCCAGTAGCCGCCTACCTTTTCACTTTATGCTTTATGTAACTGTCCAGGGTAGTTTAGACTTTAGCCATCTTACACTTGTGTATTTATATCAGCATTTGCTACAGTAAAACAAACATGGCCTTTGAGTCGTCTTCTTCCTCTAGCCTTTCTGCTTTTCACTCTTACCCTGCATGTTCAGCTATCTTCATGGTATCAGAGCCCATCGCCTAACGGCTCCTCTACACGTCCAAAATGGGCGACTCTACACCCGTCTCTGCTGCGTCTACTCCTCAACCCGCTCAACACGAGATTTCGAGCAGCACAGACGTTCATATTCCTCCCACCCTCAAATTTTAGCACTCTAATATCAAGAACGTCATCAACGTTCAACTGCTCCCAGATAACTACCCAACTTGGCGGTCAGCCATTCAAAAGCTATACGCCGCTAATAGTTTCTCCGGCTACTTGGACGGAACACAGCTGTGTCCTCCTAAACACCTACTCACTGCTGCCGGACAACTCACCCTCAACCCCCAATTCTCTTCCTGGTCTTTGATAGATCAAAATCTATCGGTCGCTCTCTTCTCCACGATATCTACTTCTATTCTTCCCTACGTGTTGAATCTCGACACCACCGCCTCCATCTGGAAGACTCTCGAGCAGCGTTTCTACTCTACCAATCGGTCACGAGTGATTCAATTAAAAAATGAATTACACCCCTTGTCTATACAAAACAAAACAATGACCGAATATCTAGCTTCCGTTAAAACGCTCGTCGACAACATCAATGCTGCCGGCGGATCTGTCGACAGTGAAGACGTGCTGCACTACATCTTGAATGGATTGCCTTCTACCTACCAATCCTTCAAAACTTACATACGATCATCCCTTCATCCTATCAGTTTAGACAACCTCTACTCACTGCTACGCAGTGAAGAAGTACACCAAACCACTGATGCTGTCAAGGAACTGTCGCTGGCGGCCGCCCCCTCCACTGATCCAACAATTGCTCTGTTTTCAAACAGAGGTAGAGGACGCGGACGATTCACTAACTACAAAGGTCGCGGCCGTGGCTCTAGCTCCACTCGTCCCCCTCGCACACCCCGTTTTGACGGACATTGCCAGATTTGCGGCAAACCGGGACATTCTGCCGTGACCTGTTGGCACCGAGGAAATTTTCAATACTCCTCTCCCAGCTCTTCGTCGGACGTTGCTCTACTTGCAAACAGCTCAACATCTGATACCGCGCCTTGGTATTTAGACAGCGGCGCAACCGCTCACCTATCTCCAGATCCGCTTCCCCAGCAGCAACCTTATACTGGTAAAGAACAAGTGCTGGTAGGTAATGGCACACCTCTACCCATCCAACATTTCGGTAATGGCCTTCTGCCCACTCCATTCCGTAAGCTTTCACTTTCTTCCTTACTTCACGTTCCTCATCTTACCCACCGCCTTATATCAATTTCCAGATTAATTAATGACAACAACTGTTCTGTTTTATTTGATAAATCTGGTTTTGTGCTTAAGGATCGGAAGACCAACCAAACGCTTCTCCGCGGTCCCTGTCATAACGGGCTCTATCCCATTCCTACCGTTCCAGCATCCTCAACTCATCTCGCAGCCGCAGCCACAACCACAACGTCTTTCGATCAATCGCCAGCCACGGTCTGGCATCGGCGCCTGGGTCACCCGCATACCAAAATTATCCAGACTTTACTCAAACAGCTCTCTCCTCTATCTGTTTTGCCTTCCTCTAACAATTGTAATTCCTGTGAACTATCTAAAAGTCACAGGCTTCCCTTCTCCCCCTCCAACCATGTATCTAGCTTCCCTTTACAATTATTGCATTTAGATGTTTGGGGTCCTTCCCCAGTGCTCTCATATGATGGTTACCATTATTACCTTATCATAGTCGATGATTTCTCAAAGTACTCTTGACTGTTTTTAATTAAATTCAAATTTGAAATTCCAACTCTGTTAATAAAAACCATTAAATTTCTCGAAAAACAATTGAACCATCCCGTTCGTGTCATTCGCTCCGACAATGGTGGCAAATTCGTGAACTCCACTCTCCAGACGTTCTTCTCTCAAACCGGCATATCCCACCAGTTAACTTGTCCCCATACTCCTCAACAAAACGGCACTGCCGAACGGAAACACCATCATCTTATAGATACTGCCCGCACTCTGCTTCTCGATGCAAACCTGCCGTCACATTTCTGGACAGAAGCTATACACACAGCACTCTACCTCATCAACAGGTTACCATCCTCCAATAATCCCAAACAATCACCCTACGAACTCCTCTATCGTCGTCCGCCCAACTATCACCACCTCAAAATCTTCGGGTGCCGTTGTTACCCATGGCTTTGTCCCTACACCCCACATAAGCTATCTCCCCGCTCAATCCCTTGTTTATTCTTACCAAATTCCAAAGCTAGATCCTGGTTAGTGCAGCTCCGTCGCGATCCAGCACGGGCGGGATCCGTCTCGTCTCGGGTCGGGTCGTGACAGCTATGATCCTAAAACCGGGAAAATCTACATTTCCCGCCACATTACCTTTCATGAATCCTCAACCATCTCTGTTACAACACCACCATCTCCCACCGCTCCTCCAGAACATACATTTTCCTTCCCTGCATTCACTACCAAACCGATCTCTACATCAAACCCGTCCAAACAAAATTCAGCCTGTTCTTCTGTTCCTTCTCCCACCACAGCAATTCCTGTTCCTCTTACTTCCGACTCCTCTACATCACCAACTGTTCCAGCAACTTCACCTGACCCCTCCTCTTCATCTTCCACCTTACCTCACCACCACATGATAACAATATATCAAACCGAATCTCTCAAACCCCGCCAAATTCTAGATCTACAACATTCTACCAGCTCCGACTCCATTCCTACCTCATATACCACAGCCTCAAAAGATCCCCACTGGCGCAATGCCATGTCCGCTGAGTTCAACGCTCTTCAAGCCCAATCTACCTGGTCCCTTATCCCGCCTCCCTCCGACCAACAAATCATCGGCTGCAAGTGGATTTTCAAAATAAAACGCCTTACCGATGGTTCAATAGCTCGCCATAAAGCTCGACTTGTAGCTCAAGGGTATAAACAAGAATACGGCATCGATTATCTCGAAACTTTCAGTCCCGTTGTCAAATTCCCTACAATTCGACTCTTCCTCACTGTTTCTCTACACCACAACTGGCAAATTTTCCAGCTCGACGTTGTAAATGCCTTTCTTCACGGCAACATCGATGCAACAATCTACATGACTCAACCTCGATCCACAATATCATAACCATGTGTGCCTCCTTCATAAAGCTCTCTACGGTCTTAAGCAATCCCCACGCCTCTGGTTCGCAACCTTATCCTCCTACCTAATCACACAACAGTTTCACGTCAGCAGTGCCGATCCCTCCTTCTTTATATTTTCTCAACCCGGCACCACTGTCTACATCCTCATATATGTGGATGACATCCTTATTACCGGCAATGACTCCAGCTTCATCTCTTCGGTTCTCAAATACCTTCACACAAAATTTCAAATACGAAATTTGGGTCCACTTTCCCGCTTCCTCGGAATTGATTTCACCCGCACCTCTACTGGCTTCAATCTCTCTCAGCAATCCTATATCAAAGATCTTCTTCTAACTGCCTTTATGATCAACTGTAAACCACTAACCACACCTCTACCACACAAACCTCCTACCGATCCCTCTCTCCAAAACCCATTTCCTCAACCAGCACTTTTTCGCTAGTTAGTAGGATGCCTACAATACCTGTCCTCCATTTGTCCGGACATATCATTTGAGGTTAACAAGCTCTGTCAACAAATGCACAAGCCGTTACTGCTCCATTTCCAATTGCTCAAACGAGTCCTGAGATACTTGGCCGGTACAATCAGCTATACTCTGTTTATTCCCAAAACAGAACTTGTCCTCACCGCCTATTCAGACTCAGATTGGGCGGGTGACTGCCTTGACCGGAAATCAACAACAGGTTACTGTATATTCCTCGGCAACTCCTTAATAGCCTGGTCTGTAAAAAAACAGACTACTGTCGCCAGATCTTGAACAGAGGCGGAATACCGCTCTTTAGCTGCCGCAGTTGCCGAACTTATTTGGATTCGCCGTCTCTGCAACGACTTCAACATACCGCTCCAGCCAACTCCAGTTTATTGCGACAAT